TACAAATTCATATTTCAGGAAATGACCCTGCCACACCTTCAGTGCCTCCTTTGCCTCTAGGATTAAATTTTTTTTTTTTTTTTTTTTTTTTTTTGAGACAGAGTCTTGCTCTGTCACCCAGGCTGGAGTGCAGTGGCGTGATCTCGGCTCACTGCAAGCTCCGTTTCCCGGGTTCATGCCATTCTCCTGCCTCAGCCTCCTAAGTAGCTGGGACTACAGGCGCCTGCCACCATGCCCGGCTAATATTTTTGTAGTTTTAGTAGAGATGGAGTTTCACCATGTTAGCCAGGATGGTCTCAATCTCCTGACCTCATGATCCACCTGCCTTGGCCTCCCAAAGTGTTGGGATTACAGGCATGAGCCACTGCGCCTGGCCAGCTTCTAGGATTAAATCCAAACTTCTTAGCCTCTCGTTTAAAGCTTTCCACATCCTGTTTAAAACCTGCTTTCCCCTATAATCCCAGCACTTTGGGAGGCTGAGGTGAGTGGATCACAAGGTCAGGAGTTTGAGACCAGCCTGGCCGATATGGTGAAACCCCATCTCCACTAAAAATATAAAAAATTAGCCAGGTGTGGTAGTGCATGCCTGTAGTCCCAGCTATTTGGGAGGCTGAGGCAAGAAAATCTCTTGAACCCAGGAGGCAGAAGTTGCAGTGAGCCGAGATCGCACCACTGTACTCCAGCCTGGGCGACAGAGCAAGACTCCATCTCAAAATAAATAAATAAATAAACCAAAAACCTGCTTTTCTCTAACCTGTAGCTATTCTCTAGCCCTAGCCCCTGAATAAGCTTTGGCCTTTTGTTTTTTGTTTTTTGTTTTTTGTTTTTGTTTTTGTTTTGAGACGAAGTTTTGCTCTTGTTGCCCAGGCTGGAGTGCAATGGCAGGATCTTGGCTCACTGCAACCTCTGCCTCCTGGGTTCAAACGATTCTCCTGCCTCAGCCTCCTGAGTAGCTGAGATTACAGGTGCTTGCCACCACACCTGGCTAATTTTTTGTATTTTTAGTAGAGATGAGGTTTCATCATGTTGGCCAGGCTGCTCTCAAACTCCTGACCTCAGGTGATCCACCTGCCTCAGTCTCCAAAAATGCTGGAATTATAAGCATGAGCCACCACGCCCGGTCTAGCTTTGGCTTTTTATACCTGTCTGCTTGGACTCATTCTGTCTCCCTGGCTCCCCTCCCCTTCTGACAAACCAAAGTGGCTTTCTTCACCAGGTCCCCCCTTGACCACTCCAATCGGAAATGACCTCTTTCTTCTTGGAACCCTCGAGCATTGACCATATGTGTCATGTATCTGATATGGAATTCAGTATTACCCTGTGATGGCTTTTGTGTTATTAAAGTGAACTGCCACTTATTTCTTATGTGCTTGCAAAAGTTAATTGGTGGGTTTGAGTGTTGTTTCCTCAACTGTATCTTAAGGCCTTGGGGAGAGTGAGCTGCCCAACGCCCCTGCAGCACCTAGGACAGGGCCCACTAGTAATAGCAGCAGTAGTAGTGACAATAACAATGAAAGTTCACATGACGGCAACCTTTCTCTATGCCAGCCCGTTCCATGTACGAACTCACTTATTACTAGATAAATATATTTGAGGGTTTTAGTGTCATGGGTGTATATTTGACCTCAAACTAAACCTTTGAAGGGTTTTAGGTCACCCAGTCCCCATACTCAGACAATAATTCTGGGTCAGAGCTGATCAGGGAGGAAGATGAGTTTTCTAGGCAAAGGCCTAACACACAGCAGGGAATGAGGATGGCCACAGCCTGGGAAGGAAAGGCAAAGAAAGAGGAACAGAGAGCGCTGTGCACAGTGGCTCATGCCTGTAATCCCAGCACTCTGAGAGGCCGAGACAGGAGGATCACGAGGTCAAGAGATCAAGACCATCCTGGCCAACATGGTGAAAAATACAAAAAATAGCCAGGCGTGGTGGCGCACGCGTATAGTTCCAGCTACTCAGGAGACTGGGGTAAGAGAATCGCTTGAACCCAGAAGGCAGAGGTTGCAGTGAGCCGAGATAGCGCTGCTGCACTCCAGCCTGGCAACAGAGCAAGGCTCCGTTGAAAAGAAAAGAAAAGAGGAACAGAAAGGAATGAGATGCCGGGTTTGATGGCAGCAGAGGCTGTGAACCAGTCCATGCTGGTGGACTCACCCCCTTTCCTGCACTGGCAGGGTAGGGCTCTGGAAATAAGGCCTGGCTCCTGGCAGGGTTGTGCTGAGGCCTCTTTCCCATGGTGGGTCCCAGTAGGATGGTCTGGGTCCCCTGGGGACAGCAGGCCCAGTGCACAGCCACCTCTCTTCCTGTCCACACTACCGGGGTTCCCAGCCTAGCTGGCTCCAGGCCACCTGCCTCTCCTGCACTTGAAAGGCACGGGATGAGCGTCTGGGCTGTGCGGGAGTGAATGTGCTGAGCACGCCAATGCCAGGCGGCTGGAGCCAGCCAGCTCATGGAAATGCCTCCCACCCAGGGGCCTTTTCTCCCCTTCCGATCATCATTAGCCTCTCGAAATATTTCCATGTCTCAACATTGCAAAGCGTTTTGGGGCTCTGGGGATTCTGGGTGATTTCACTCCAGCCTTCAAATAAAAGGCAGCTAGGAAGCCACCTGCCTGTGCTCAAAACCTGTGGCTCTCATGTTTGAGGGTCCAGGGGGCATCATTCATGTGGTGAAAACTGGGGAGATCCAAGGGTGCTTTCTGATACTTCTGCACCAATAAATGCACCAGCCCAGTGGCCTAGAATTAATCCATGTTCCCAGCTAGAAGCACTCCCTTACCCTTTGCCAAGCACAGATAAATAGGTCTCAGCACCCATGTAATGAATTGTTTGCATTCTTAACGACAGGAGAAGGAGGAAGAAATACTTTCACTTTGGGGGACACCTACCTCTAAAGGGGCTAACATTTTCACCCCCCTTAGTCAGAGGCTCCGCACCTGACCTGAAGGGCTAGCTACTTAAAGAATAGATCTGGTTTCTAGGGAAAGAACTGTTGAATTCTGGGGCTGGCTCTGTTAAATCTAAAAATGCCCCAGAATAAATGTAATTGCTTTCCGTCCAGTATGGCATCAAACCCTGTTTAGTTACATTTTGCTGAAGCAGCATTTAAAATCAGGAAAGTGGTTTAATTTGCTGCTGACAAAAGGGTAAGGGGAGTTTTCTCACTGAAACTTTGCACAGAGGCCCAGAAAAAATGAGTGCCATTTAAATTCTACGTGTATTTAAGATTCACACAGTCAATATTAGTACTTTTCCTCTTCTTGGAAGTCTTATTTAGATGGCTGCTGTAGAATTCTTCATGTATGACTCAAGCGCTCGTCATATTTATAATAGACTCTGTCTGCCTCAAGGATAGGGACCATCGGTCTTGTCCTTGAGTTCCCCGCCGCCACCCAGGGCCTGGGACCTGACGGTTGTATGGTAAACATTTGCTCTATGGGTACACAGAAGAATCAAGGGTCTGAGTTCCTAATACCAAAATAGCCATGAAACAGGAAGACATCTGATGCAGCAAGCCTCAGGAACTGCCAGGATTCTACCCTTGAGGCAGAACTGGCTGAGCTCCTCTTTTTGTTATTGTTGAATCAGATATTTAATAATTTAAAAAGCCAGCCCTTTCACGGTTGAGGCTCAGTTGAGCACACAGCCTGCTTCTACCGCGCGGACACTGCTCCTGGCTAGGCCACTCCAGGTGTGTCCTGGCTGTGATCTCCCCCACCCAACCATGTACCCTCCCCAGGGATTCTCCACAACCTCCAGGCCCAGCCTCACTGCCAAGTCACCTCCTGCCCTGAATCTTCAAACCTAAGTGCCCAGAAGCCAACTGCCACCAAACTGTTCATAAATCCAGAGAGGGCTCACTTCTCTCTTCTCACCTTCAATTCTATCTTACTTGTTTTTCTTCTTTTCTGCTACTTTTCTTTTTTTTTCTCCCTCTCTCCTCCCCTATCCTTTTCCCTTTATTTTGTGCCATCCCAGTCTTCTGTCCTCTCTCCAGCATCTTGCCCAAGCTTCCCCAGGTAATGCTCATGCCTCACTTGGACAGACCACCAGCATTATTTGTACAGAGGCATTAAGGAGTACCCCACCTGATCTGGTACAGCATGGGCCAGGGGCTTGGCTTGGGCTGATGCTAATTTAGGGTGGGGATGTCATGTCACCTTCCCAGGGGTGAGAAAGACAGCATAATGCCACGGACAGCCCTCAGCCCAAACCTTCACTATCCTTACCCCCACATGAATCACACATGCTACATATCCTGTTCCGTTGCTCATCATTTTCCTCCCCCTACCAGGAACTCCTTGAGGGCAGGAAATTTGTTTTACCTCTGTGTGTCCTCAGGCCTAGCACAGTGCTGCCACATAATAGGAACAGAATCAATGTTTGTACAGACAGCCACAATACAGCTATGGAGTACTGATGGTGTGCCAGGTTCCAGACACTGGAGACAGACAGGTGACCAAGATGATTTCCCTGGGCTCAGGGAGCATCCAGGAGAGAGAAGGAAATGTAAATGCAGGGAGCAGGGCCCAGGAGGGGAGACCCAACCCAAGTGCCATTTACACCGGCTCTTAAAGGATGAATTAGTGTTAAGTGAAGGAGGTGGGGCAGAGTGGAGGGGCTCAGAGAGAGCATTCTAGGCAGAGGGAATGTTTGATGGGTGGATGGGTAATCCTGGCATTGAAATCTGAATTCAGTGGCACAACAGTACAGAGTAGTCTGACTGATACAGGGAAACAGATGCTGAATTAGGAGTGTCCTGATACTGTGCATAGAATATGATGGCAGTGGGAGTGATCTCCTTACTGCCTCTGTTCTGGTGGTATGTGGACCGGTATTGCTACATCTTGATGGCAAATGCTCCCAGGAAGGGAGTGGAATGAATACATCGACCTCCTCTGGCAAGCGTGGGGGTACCCTGGGCTTAAGGTAAAACCCCTTGGCCCCATGTCACATGGACCCTGCCAACCTCAGCACCTCACCAAGGTTCTTCTCTCCACCCAGATGAGCGGGAAGTTGTTCAGAAAAAGACCTTCACGAAATGGGTGAACTCGCACCTGGCTCGAGTGTCCTGCCGCATCACCGATCTCTACAAGGACCTGCGGGATGGGCGCATGCTCATCAAGCTGCTGGAGGTGCTCTCTGGAGAGATGCTGGTAAAGTCCCTTCCATGGGCCCCGGGGCTGCTGCCATCGGCCCCTCTTCAGCAAAGGCGTGGTTTGAGGGCATCTCGAGTTCTCATGGCCTTCCCAGTTTTCTCTCTGCTCCTTTGGGAGGCTCTAATACTTAGAATGGGAAGCATCCATGTGGCTGACTGGGTTCTCTGAATTCTTCCCAGAACTTCTTGCCTCCTCTGACCACTCCCACCCCTTCATGCTTCTCCCAGAAGCCATGCAGAGCTCCTGACTTTCACACTGGGCTCTGGGCATCTATAGCTGGCCTGTGATGGCCTGGCCCTCAGTCTGCCCATTGGGCTAAGATGCATCTCTCTTGGAACCAAGAGGAAAGTGTGGAAGCCATTTTGCTGTGTGTTTTACCACCCTTACAAGTGGAAATTTATTAGAGGCTGTCTCAGTTGTAACCCGCCAGCAACACTGTTGACCCCAAAGGAGAAGTAGATGAAGGTTTATGTTTTGCTCAGCACAGAGTAAGCTTTGTGTCCTTGGCCTGTCAGGCAGGACCCTCTTTTCCTCCATTTCCCCCATGTGTAAAATGAGGGCAATGATACCTGTACCTGATGAAGTTATTTTGAGATCCTCAGAGTCTGAATGAAAAGGCTTGAATGAAATGTTGCCTTTTCAACTCCATGCTGAAGTTCTGCCTCTCAACCTGCATTGAAATTCCACTAGACAGAGTTACCATGGGGAACCCATCAGATGATGCAGTTATCATCAGGGGAGAGGAGAAGGTTGATTGGCAGGGATGAACCCATTATCAATCACCAAGCTAAAAGTCACTCTTAACACTGACTGGCAGTAAACAGTTCTTAGAACTGTGCCTGGCACATAGTAAGTGATCAGTTAACCATATGTTATGCTATCTTATGCAAATGCCATTTATCGCCCACTCAGAGGGCTTTGTTCAGCCCTGGAAGGGCACTGATGCAGCCTGGTTGCCGCTCTCTGGGTGCTTGTTGGAGGGAATCTCTGAGTTTTGCTGAAAGGAAAGCACTGAATAGTGTCAATGAATGACCACGGGACTTGGAGTTTGGCCAAGAGGGTGGACGGTGGGTGCTTATGACAGGAGCTGGTCCAGGCTGCGGCCTCTGGGATGACTGTGCAGTTCCTCCATGCCCATGGGGGCCACTGCTGTCCCCCAGCCAAAGCCCACCAAGGGGAAGATGCGCATCCACTGCCTGGAGAACGTGGACAAGGCTCTCCAGTTCCTCAAGGAGCAGCGTGTGCACCTGGAGAACATGGGCTCCCATGACGTTGTAGACGGCAACCACCGCCTGGTCCTGGGCCTCATCTGGACCATCATCCTCCGCTTCCAGGTAGGTTCCTGGGGGGCAGAGGAAGTCGAGGGAGCCCTCAAGGCTGCACAGGGCCTGGGAATCTTCTAAAATGGTGAACAGAGTGGGGATGTTAGCGCACATTCTGGGAGTCTGTAAATCTGCCATGTGGGACAGTGCTTGTATCACCCCAAATCGTTGAAGCTAAGGGGGAGCTGCTCACTCAGTAGTATAGTCTTTTCAGGGAGAAGATAGAAATTAATTGGTAGCTGGGTTGATATCTGGCTGGAAGATTAGCTTTTTAGCCTCCTCCCCCTACATATGTAACTTCTTGGTTTTTGAAATAATTAGATTCAGAAATTGCAAAAATTGTATAGAGGATCCGTGTGTATATTTTCCAGTTAGAAACTTTTCTCTTCTCACCCTGAAATTCAAAGTCCAGATAATTTGTAAGGAAGTTTAGAAAGGAGAAGGGGAGGAAAACGGGGGGACAGAAAGAACCTTGCCCGAGGAGGTGAGGGCAGGAGAAAGAAGACAGATACAACTCGCGGACTAAAGACCTCAACCAAGTGGTTCTGGATGTCCGATCTCACTCTCCATGGATGCGTAAAATTGAACAACAATAGCAGCAGATTTGGGGAGAATGGAAAGGCAAGAGGAGCTGCTAATGAAAGTGCAGTACTCACCAGCATTCATGTTGTTCCACAGCCTCAAGGGGCATTGCACGTCCAGAGGAGGAATCGGGGCATCTCGTCACTGATTCTCCACATTCTATTAGAGTTATCCAATTACAGCTGTCTCATCCCTGCGCCATTTTGGCTGACGGAGGCAGGGAAACAGGCTGCTGGGGCCCAGGGCCTCAGGGTGTGGTGTTGTTGCGGGGCTGGCAGCTACAGCAGAGGGATGAGGGAGGGAGCCTCCCAGGGACAGCAGGAAGGCACAGATCCAGATGCGAATTCTCGTCAAATCTCTCTTGTTCTCCTACCCTCAGATTCAGGACATTGTTGTCCCAACTCAGGAAGGTCGTGAAACAGCCAAGGATGCGTTGCTGTTGTGGTGTCAGATGAAGACGGCAGGGTATGCCCTGGGAACCAGCTGTCAGCACGTCCTCCACCAGCCCTTTGCTCCCCACAAGCACTGCCATCCCCAGAGGGACACTAGATATCATCATCCAGAACTACAGCCGCCTGCCTGTAATGGATGCGAAGTCTGTCCTGAGCTGATTCTTTGAGGCTGGGAATACAGGATTCTTTTCCAAAGCTGCCTGCAGGCAGACTGGGGGGTCTGTGTGGTGTTCACATCTGATGGGAGAGCCTCTGTGTGTGGCTTAGCTGCTGCCCCCTCTTGGTGACCTGGCTCAAGAAAGGACAGTTCCATTTCTTTCCTGGTATATTGGCCCTCAGTTTGTACACTTGTTTGGGACTACAAAAAATCTAATTCTTAGCTCTTACTGTTTCTCTTGGATGCAGCTACCCTCATGTCAATGTCACCAACTTTACCTCCAGCTGGAAGGATGGCTTGGCCTTTAATGCCCTGATACATAAGCACCGGTAAGAGGGAGGGGACAGCCATGGGGACTGACTGAGACAGCCTCCCTGGGAATATTTGGACACATTGCACTTAACATGGAGTCACAGAAATGTGACCTCTGCTGTTCCTTCTCCTCTCCCCTTCAGCACTCCATAGCACCCCCACTTTCCTTCAATCGCAGCATGTCTGCCACCCACTTCCCTCATGTGCCAAGGCTCACACCTGCCCCCTCTCCTCTGCTCCCGTCTCCTCCTTTCACTCCTCTTGCCCGACCAACTCCCTGCCTCTGCACAGTGTCTGCTTCATGCTAGGGCTGCCCTGCTGGCGGGGATGCTGTGGCCACTCCCTTTTCACAGTCCAGCTTTGTCCCCAGGCCCGACCTGATCGACTTTGATAAGCTGAAGGACTCCAATGCCCGGCACAACCTGGAGCACGCATTTGATGTGGCTGAGCGCCAGCTGGGCATCATCCCGCTCCTCGACCCCGAAGGTGAGCCACACCCACCCCTGCCAGCCTTTGCTGCAGCAATGAGGGATGCACTCGCTGTGCTAGAGGAGCTCAGCCGCAGGACTTCTGTAGGCCGGCCCAGGTCCTGGGCAAGCTGTGGGCACAGGGAGGGGCAGTGGCCGGGCCAGGCTCTGCTCTGGGCCTGCTTCTCTGCTCCATGCTGGCTCCCATGCCTGCCTGGTCTGTTTGGAGATGGACTTTGGATCTTTCTTCTTTTCTTCTTTTGTAATTTGTGGTTCTAAAATGGATTTCATCACATTCTTCCATTCTTGCTCTGTTGGTTGTCACTTTGTGCCTGTAGCTGAACTTCATGCTGGAGGAATGGGGGATAAATCCTCTAAGCCTGACTTTCCTGGCTTCCAGTTTGGTCCTGAGAGTACACCCTTTTCCCTAACAGATGTCTTTACGGAAAACCCTGATGAGAAATCCATCATCACCTATGTGGTGGCGTTTTATCACTACTTCTCCAAGATGAAGGTGCTGGCAGTGGAGGGCAAGCGTGTCGGCAAGGTACAAGCTGTTTTGGAACCAAGGTGTCACCCTTCCCCTGTTTGCCAGATCCACACAGAGTGGCCCTCTTTCCAACCTAAGAAAGGGTGAAGAGTACAGCTCCCCTACCCCCTAACTTCCTCTAAAGCTGCCCTTGGCAGCATTGATGGCTCCTGAGCTGAATTCCAAAGCAGGTTGATGGTCTGTCCTGAAAGGTACCACAGGCGGCTGCTCTGTGCCTGGCGTCCACCTGGTCCACCTGAGATGCATATCTCATGAACATCCCTACAGGAACCCTCTAGGCTTTTATGTGGTTTGTTTATTGTGATCGCCGACCTCTTAGGCACCCACAGTATACCAGAAACTCACCCATCGGTAGAGACCCTCATGCCAGATTCCTCTCCTCTGCTAGATAGATCCTTAGCTCCTAAAGGATAGGTACCATTTCTCATTCATCTCTGTGCCTCGTGTTTAGTAAAGACAATGGCTGGTAGCCCTTGACTCCTCATGAACATTTAAAAATAAACAAAACCCTGGCCCCCAAGTGGCTGGCATCCTGGCACAGCAAGCTTACCAATCTTCTCTCGCACTGGGGAGGGGAGCTGCTCCCAATCCCTAACAGGCCAGCTCGCTGCCGATTGGCAAGAGGAGGGCTTCACCCACTTCCTGTCCACTCCTGCTGCCCTACCAACAGTCTTGGGCTCAGGGAACAAACCCAGCCTAGAGCACTCCGGGGCTTAGGAGGTGGGAGCCCCATTTCAGGGCACCTTGATGGTGGTCCTCATTGGTATCCTCAATGGTGGCATTGCCCTTCTGATGAGAATAAGTAAGAAGGTGATTCCTTAGGTTATTGACCATGCCATTGAGACTGAGAAGATGATTGAAAAGTACAGCGGGCTAGCCTCGGACCTGCTCACCTGGATCGAGCAGACCATCACTGTTCTGAACAGCCGCAAGTTTGCCAACTCACTGACGGGCGTCCAGCAGCAGCTGCAGGCCTTCAGCACCTACCGCACTGTGGAGAAGCCGCCCAAGTAAGGGCCTTGGAACACGGGAGGGTGGTCCTCAGTGGCTGGGAAACTGACCACCAAAAGGTAGAGCCAGGTCCTGGGCCTTATGAAGTACATCTACGAGGCACACGCTCAAGATTAGAGAGCTGCACATGTGTTACCTGCCTCGTGCCCCTCTTCCCCACTCTCCTCCCAAGCCACCAGCTTAGAGGAAACCAGCATTGATGAGAAACCTCGACTCACGACCAAAGACAGTGTTTCCTCCCAGATCCCTGAGGAGAAGCAGGAAGGAAATCGTAGGCTTCTGATTCTCTTTGAATAATCCAGGCTGAAAAGCTCCTCTCTGGTCTGCCACTGAGCTGTGGGCTTGTTTTCTGATGAGATGACCTCTGTGCTCTCAGCCCCTGAGCTCTCTGCATGGGGTCTTATGGATCATCAAGTTCATCCTTCTTTTCCTCTCCCATCTGTCACTGCTCAGCAACAGAGCACTTAGCCTGCTTCTCAGGACCTCTGCCCTACCCTAGTGCGTGCAGAGCCTGTGTGCATATGCTTACACACATTGCATGCAAACAACTGTGCACACACATGTGCATGCAAACAACCATGCACACACATGCATACCTGTGTACACACAACCATCCATACACACAACTGTGCACCCATGAACATGCATGCACACACAACCATACGCACACAACCGTGCACTCATACACATACACATAACTATACATGCATTTGTGCATGCACACACAACTATGCACCCATGCACGTACATATGCACACACAACCACATGTGCAAACGCACATATATATGTACAACCACGCATGTGCACATGCACACACACACAAACATGCACACATACACACAGGGCGTTCCAGCTTATCTGCCATTAGCTTGTCCAGCTCCTCTGAAACAGGCTTCCAGCTCATTGGTGGTACCTTCTGCTCTGCTATTCCCCCCCACCCCCCACACTCTCCATTCGTGACTCTGAAATGGGGAAAGGTGAAATGCTGACTCTAGAATATACTATAAACAAGTATCTGGTTTCTGGTCTGACACCAACCCATTTCTGAAGCCCTAAATCCAATACAGTTAGCATCCCCTATGAGTCTACCAGTCACTGCACACAGGGGTGTTATCTCTTGGCTGTGTAGACAGTGCTTCATGGCCACAGTTCTCTTAAGTGCCTGTGAGCACTGAGATCCATTAGACTGGGCTCAGGGTGGAACATTGCGTATAGCTGATCCTTGACTGCCAGGTCAAGGATGCAGAAATGGGGGGACACTTGGGTACATGCAGAAATGTGGAAGTACCTGATACCTGCAGCCTGTACCCCACATGCTAGACAGCAATCCTGCTGCCAATTCTTGTCTCCTATACCTACAATCCTCTCAGAGCCCAGCCTTTCCTGCCTTCTGGGAAGCATCTGGCCTGTAGGACTTGCCAGGAGATCTGGCTCATTAGGACCTGGGTGAAAGCTGTTTTCAGTGTAGTATGCTCTCCCACGGAAAATGCTGCTTCTGGGGTTTTATTGACTCAATAAGAAACTGACCAGAGAGCTAATAAGAAGCCCTCATCACTTGCAGAACAGAGAAGGATTTTTTTTTTTTTTTGTATTGATCAGTAAAACTTGATATTTACGGGAATTACCAGAATACCTCAGCTTCCCATGTAGAAGCAAATGATAAATGCTATGGTGGCCATTGTGTTTCCTTTGGTTTATATTGTAAAGACCCAAACCCCTATTAGATCTTAGTTGGTGAGAAGGAGAGATGTTTTAACAGGTAAGCAGACCTATAGATTCTCTTTAGTTTTTCTGTGTTTTTAAGGGAAATATGCTTTGCTATCTAAGCTTCAAGATGCCACAGTTCCGTATTGACTTCAGCAAAAAAAAATTTGGCCATGAGATATGAGATCTTAATACCAGTCTTCCTACCTCTGTTTTCTTGACAGGTTTCAAGAGAAGGGGAATCTAGAAGTTCTACTTTTTACCATTCAGTCCCGGATGAGAGCCAACAATCAGAAAGTGTACACACCCCACGATGGGAAACTAGTGTCTGACATCAACAGGGTACCACAGCATTTTCCATTATGCATTGATGGTGGATTGATTGAATTCCTGATAAGGACACAGTGAATGGTCATTGGACCAGATTAAAGCAAGCCACTTTCTTTGGTATTATTAATCCACATGTTGACTATTTGGGGGAGTTATCTGAACCTGGTTCTGAGGGGTCAGACTCTACTCCTCCACCCTCCTTTAATCCCCCTGTTCAGATGCCCTGAGTCCCTGAGTCCTTTTTTTTTGGAGACAGGGTCTCACTCTTCCACCCAGGTGGCAGTGCAGTGGCACAATCATAGCTCACTGCAGCTTCGCCCTCCCGGGCTCAAGTGAAGCTCCCACCTCAGCCTCAGTAGGTGGGAGTACAGGCGTGCACCACCACACCCAGCTAAATTTTGTATTTTTTATAGAGACAGAGTCTGGCAATGTTGCCTAGGCTGGTTTTGAACTGGCCTCAAACAATCCTTCCATCTTGGCCTCCCAAAGTGCTGAGATTACACATGTGAGCCACCACACCCAGCCTCCTAGTCCATTTTTTTTGGAGTCAGTTTTACAGCCTGTCCTCTGTAGAACCTTGAGTTTGTCTTTGAAGATGGAATATTAACTACTTATAACCAAAGGAAAATGCCTATGACATTTCAGAGGCTTGGAGGCTTACCACCACTTGGCAGTTCATATTGAACAGAGGTAGCCATTAGTCAATATGAACTTACTGAGCATAGCCGGGCGCGGTGGCTTAAGCCTGTAATCCCAACACTTTTGGAAGCCGAGGCAGGCGGATCACGAGGTCAGGAGCTCGAGACCATCCTGGCTAACATGGTGAAACCCCGTCTCTGCTAAAAATACAAAAAAATTAGCTGGGCGTGGTGGCGGGCGCCTGTAGTCCCATCTACTCGGGAGGCTGAGGCAGGAGAATGGTGTGAACCCGAGAGGCGGAGCTTGTGAAGAGCTGAGATTGTGCCACTGCACTCCAGCCTGGGCAACAGAGTGAGACTCTGTCTCAGAAAAAAAAAAAAAAAAAGAACTTACTGAGCATTCAGAGAAGTGAAAAACATTATTTTGGGCCAAGAGTCTGAGGCAGGTTTAGGGGAAGAGGGAAGTGAGACTCATGAGCAGTGCCCTCTGAATCTTTCATGGGTCCAGACATGAAAGCCAAAAGGCTTTTAGTGATCTTTAATCTGTTACCACGTCACCCAAGAGCATCAGGTTGTACCTCAATTCCAGAAATCACTCAGTGTTGGGTTAAAGAGGTGGAGCCCCCAAACTGAGGTGTTTCTCCTGTACCCCAAGAATTCTCATTCCACCCTTTGTGCAGGCCTGGGAAAGCCTGGAGGAAGCTGAGTATCGGCGGGAGCTGGCCCTGAGAAATGAGCTTATTCGGCAGGAGAAGCTAGAGCAACTGGCCCGGCGCTTTGACCGGAAGGCTGCAATGAGAGAGACCTGGCTCAATGAAAACCAGCGCCTCGTGGCCCAGGTAATGAGGGACATGCTTTGGGTGACAGGAGAGGGGACATTCTTCAGAGCCCCCAGCTTTTGGCTGGGCTGGAGTCCAAGCTGGCTTCTCACAGCCTCTCCTCGTGCCTTGCATCCCAGCTCCCCCATGATCTGGTGGATCAAGATTTGCATCTGGGGAGGAGCTCTCCAGGATTTATTAAATGTCATTTTTAGGAAAGAGCCTTGGAGTCTAGAACTGGCTGCTGAAGTTGTCTTTTGTGGGCTTGTAGCGTCAACTACAGCTGGGGTTTGAGTTGATGTTAAATCGTGGTTCTTGGGGGATATGGTAAAATCACAGACTGCACCTTGTCTGTGTCGGGCATGCCTTTTGGACTCTGGCCTCTGGTGCTGTGACATAATTCTAGCTAAGAATGGACCCCAGGGCTGATTCTTCATCAGAGCATCTGTTCCCTCTCACTTAAAACTTGGAATCAAATTAGATTCTTTCCAAAAAGGGGCAACGAGTATTCTGAGAGCACTGGAGAGTGTATGCGCACCCCAGAGAGCGTGTGAATAAACCATCTGTTTGCTGGTGCATGGTTTCTGAGTGAGAAGCAGCCCCTTCCTGCCCCAAATCCAACAAGTCCACTCAAGGCAGGGTGGGGAGTGCCAGCAGGCCACCAAGGGGCTCCATTAGTAACACACAGGCTGCATCTCCCACACGGGTGGCACAGGGAGTAAAATCACGAACTTGTCACCGGGAGCGGTGGCTCACGCCTGTAATCCCAGCACTTTGGGAGGCTGAGGCAGGCGGATCACCTGAGGTCGGGAGTTTGAGACCAGCCTGACCAACATGGAGAACCCCTGTCTCTACTAAAAATACAAAATTGGCCGGGTGTGGTGGCACATGCCTATAATCCCAGCTATTAGGGAGGCTGAGGCAGGAGAATCGCTTGAACCTGGGAGGTGGAGGTTGCGGTGAGCTGTGATCGTGCCATTGCACTCCAGCCTGGGCAAACAAGAGTGAAACTCCGTCTAAAAAAAAAACAACAACCATGAACTTCTCTTAGACGCTCTTGTAAGACATTACTTTTTGGAATTTGGGTCTGATAAGACAGCTGCGAAAGGAAGGCGGAGTTCTTGGGAATGTGCTTTCCCATCTAGCACTGGTTCTGAAGGGACCCACCCTTTCCCTGCATTTGGGGATGAGCCCCGGGGTGTCTCACTGAGCTGCCTGTTTTTCTCCCGTGGGGCAGGATAACTTCGGGTATGACCTGGCAGCTGTGGAGGCTGCCAAGAAGAAGCACGAGGCCATCGAGACTGACACGGCTGCCTACGAGGAGCGGGTGAGAGCCCTGGAGGACCTGGCTCAGGAGCTGGAGAAGGAGAACTACCATGACCAGAAGCGCATCATGGCCCGCAAGGACAATATCCTGCGCCTGTGGAGCTACCTGCAAGAGCTGCTGCGGTCCCGGCGCCAGAGGCTTGAGACCACCCTGGCACTGCAGAAGCTCTTCCAGGACATGCTGCACAGCATTGACTGGATGGATGAGATCAAGGTGGGCCCTGGGGGCCACCTCCTGCCATGCCCTGCAGCACTCACGTTGGGTCTCAGGGGCCCTGCAGTTAGCATCGGCTTCCTTAGACACCTCCCAGCCAGTCATATATCTGAGTCAAAATAGAGAAACTGAGGCAGCAGTGTCTAGCTGCACTTGCCTCTGTGCCTCTTGGTCCACTCTGCTCCAGCAGGTGATACCAGCCCAGGTCCATGGTACCCTGGTGATTGAGAAATCTTGGGTTTGTGGCAGCACCGGTGCCAACCTGCAGGGCCTTGAAGAGACATACATTAATCAGGAACCTGGAGAATCAGGCTCTTAGTAATTACAATTTGACTCTGGTTAGAATCCAGACCTCCCAGCGTAAGGGCAACCTCTCCTCTGTCTCTGCCGTAGTGAGTCTCAGCTGAGGACACACATCAGACTGCCCCTGGAGCTTTGTGAAAATACACATGGCCAGGCCCCAACCCTGAGACCGATGCAGTAGATGAGTGTGGGCCTTGAGCATCTGTAAGATGTTCCATGGATGATGCTGATGGGCACCCCCAGTAGGCACTCCCCCTCTGGAGCTTCTTCCATCATCATCAGCAGCCCTTTTCTGGCTGCATTAGGCTCACCCTTGCTCAGACACCAGGGACATGCCCTTTGCAGGAGTCTCTTCTCCTAATGTGTAGGTCTCTTCATTTCTTCTCATTTCCTTTCTGCTGTTCTCTTTGCCAGGCTCACCTCTTGTCTGCCGAGTTTGGGAAGCACTTGTTGGAGGTTGAAGACCTGCTACAGAAGCACAAGTTGATGGAAGCTGACATTGCCATCCAAGGGGACAAAGTGAAGGCCATCACTGCAGCCACCCTGAAGTTCACTGAGGGGAAAGGTGAGACCAAGTCTGTCTCCCCTGTTAAGGCTTCCGATGCCAGAGCCTCATCCTCTGGCCTAACACCCCAACTTGGATAAATCTCCTGGAACCAACTTTAAAGTTCTCTTTCTTTCATCAAATAATGGTCCGAGAAAGAAGCTTGAGGGACAGTCAAACTCTCTAGAGAGCCGACAACTGCTTCAATAACCTATAATCACCAAGGAGCCATCATCTGTCCTTCATTCTCCTTGCTAGTTCAAGTCATGGCTGAGACAATTTAGGTTTCCAGATTCTTGTTTTAAATAAGAGACCTCACTGCCTCTTTCAAGAATGACCCTGAAAATTTTTTTAAATTAATTTAAAAAATAATTTTATGTTGTATATTTCTATTAAGAACTAACCCCACTTTTTATCTTTCTTAACCCTGAAGTTCAGTGGGAAATAATTATAAAGAATCTGTCTGCCCTCTGAGCAACTGGGACCCCCCTGCAACCAACCCCAAAGCCCTAGTGTCATGGCAGCTTCAGGTTTGTGTAGTTCCAACCTGGCAGCTTATCTGAAGCGTGCCCATAAATGAAACCCATCCCCCACTTTGTCCTCCTTCCCCCTATTTCTTCCAGGGTACCAGCCTTGTGACCCCCAGGTCATCCAGGACCGCATCAGCCACCTGGAGCAGTGCTTTGAGGAGCTGAGCAACATGGCAGCTGGGCGGAAGGCCCAACTGGAGCAGTCTAAACGACTCTGGAAGTTCTTCTGGGAGATGAATGAGGCCGAGAGCTGGATCAAGGAGAAGGAGCAGATCTATTCTTCCCTGGACTGTGGCAAAGACCTGACCAGTGTGCTCATCCTACAGCGCAAGCACAAGGCTTTTGAGGACGAGCTCCGTGGGCTGGATGCCCACCTGGAGCAGATCTTCCAGGAGGCTCATGGCATGGTTGCGCGCAAGCAGTTTGGGCACCCGCAGATCGAGGCCCGCATCAAGGAGGTGTCAGCTCAGTGGGACCAGCTGAAGGAGCTGGCTGCCTTCCGCAAGAAGAACCTCCAGGATGCTGAGAACTTTTTCCAGTTCCAGGGTGATGCAGATGACCTGAAGGTTTGGCTGCAAGATGCCCACCGGCTGCTCTCTGGTGAAGACGTAGGGCAGGACGAAGGGGCCACGCGGGCCCTGGGGAAAAAGCACAAGGACTTCCTGGAGGAGCTGGAGGAGAGCCGTGGGGTGATGGAGCACCTGGAGCAGCAGGCCCAGGGATTCCCCGAAGAGTTTCGGGATTCCCCAGACGTGACCCATCGGCTGCAGGCCCTGCGGGAGCTCTACCAACAGGTAGTGGCCCAGGCAGACCTGCGTCAACAGAGGCTGCAGGAAGCCCTGGACCTGTACACGGTGTTTGGGGAGACAGATGCCTGTGAGCTGTGGATGGGCGAGAAGGAGAAGTGGCTGGCCGAGATGGAAATGCCAGACACCCTGGAGGACCTGGAGGTGGTGCAGCACAGGTCAGAGTTAACTCATCTTTTCCTCACCCCCCTGTACCCAGGTCTGGGCACCATCTCCCACCTAGTTTCGTAATAGTCTCTGGATCAGCAAAGGTCTCTTTGAGAGGCCCTGGGATGCCCTTTGTTGCGAAGTCCGGGCATTGGGAGTCACAAGTTCTATTCTGGCTCTGTGGTCTGGAGTACTTCACCCACTGGGGCCTTGCGTTCCTCAAACAAAGGGAATTTCTCTAGTCCAGTTATTCAATTACTTTTCAGCGATAGCAGTCTTTGCTCAGATGAATTGTGTATAGAACCCCTAGGTCACACAGAGGAAAAATGGAGCTACTCTGGAGAAGGAGGTTGAGAGGCCAGGACTCTGCCAGCTCTAGCCTTTCATGGCAGTCCCTAAGCCAGGGGAATCTGAGGGGCCACAGAGAGAGTTTGCAAACCCCCTGTCTGCAAGGCCACTTTCACCCCCGGTGTTCTGATTTCATCAGTACCCCAGATGGTGAGGCACGCCCCAGTCTGTGAGGCATCTCCGCAGCCAAAGCACAGAATTCAGGGAGTCAGGAGGAGGAGAGGCCACTCTCTGGAGCAGTGCCAAGGTGGTGCTGCACTGATGCTGGAGAATCCTGGGCTCTTACCCTTGAAGGATCGGCCTTCGGAACCACAAATTCCCCCCAACCACCACCCCAGCAGCTTTTCCTTATCTTACCCAGGAATGGAGCACCTGACTGGAAAGGGTAGCTTTCGGATCACGATGTCAAGGCATTGGACTGAGAGTCCAAAAGCAACAGCCAGAATAGTGGAGGCCTGGAAGGTGGCCCTTGTGACAATCGACATCCCCCACACAAATACACAGTAACCTTTCTTCAGCCCTCCCTCCCCTTCATATGTCTCTGTTGAGCCAGAAGCCTGTGTAGGAAGTAACTGACTCTCAAGGCCTGTTCCAGGCAATGCTAACTCACAAAATCAAACCCACGAACCAGAAAGGAGGGCCAGCATATCTGTCTTCTTCCTCCTGCCTCACCTGAACAAATGGTTTAGGCAGTGGAAGGCAAAAGCAAGAGCTACATGTTCTGGAGACTGGGGGTGCCACTGGCAAGGAAGTGTCTGCTGCTGCCTCACTCATCCTCATTTCGCTCTGCCCCTATCAGGTTCGACATCCTGGACCAGGAGATGAAGACTTTGATGACTCAGATTGATGGTGTGAACCTCGCTGCCAACAGCTTGGTAGAGAGTGGCCACCCACGCAGTGGGGAGGTGAAGCAGTACCAGGACCATCTAAACACCAGGTGGGGTGTGGGTAGGGCATGGGGCGGGGGGCATTGTCTCTTGACATCTGACACACTTCTGGGGGCCAGGCCCAAAATTTAGGCCACCTACTATGCACCAACACTTCTGTACCCTCAACATTCCTGTTTTTTTGTTTTTGTTTGTTTGTTTGTTTTTGAGACAGAGTCTCACTCTTTTACCCAGGCTGGAGTGCAGTGGTGTGATCTCGGCTCACTGCAACTTCCACCTCCCAGGTTCAAGCTATTCGTGTGCCTCAGCCTCCCAAGTAGCTGGGATTACAGGCACGCAGTACCATGCCTGGCTAGTTTTTGTATTTTTAGTAGAGATGGGGTTTCACCACGTTGGCCAGGCTGCTCTCATTCCTGGCCTCAAGCGATCTGCCCACCTCGGCCTCCCAAAGTGCAGGGATTACAGGCATGAGCCACCGCCCCCCTACCAACATTCCTGTCTGTCTCAGCCATGGTTCCTTCCCAGTAGTACTGGAGTTGTAGCAGCAAGGAGGAATGATCGAGGTGTGAACAGCCCAGGGAGGGAGAGAAACGAGTCCTGGGAGGCTCGAATGCTGTGCCTGGGGAGGGCAGGTGTGTGTATGTGTGATGGAGGGCACATCCCAAGTGTGCCCAAACTCAGAATCAGGCCATATGCTTCTCATGCTATATTTCCCTGGACATTCTTGGGCAGAGAAAATTGCTTTCTGAGAGCTCTTAAGTACTGTCCATAAAAAAATGCTCCAGCCTGTGCCAAATGCAGTATTGATAATGAGGCTGGCTTGAATGAAGAGGAGAATTAGCAGGGAGCCTTAAGCAAGCTTTGTGGTCAGAACAAAAATCAGGCCCCGAGGAGCCTTTAGAGAGGGGGTGCTTTCAGTGTGGGGTGAAATTGCCCACGAGTTCCTAGAGGATCTTTGAGGACACAGGAAATGCCTGCATTCCCTGTCTTTACCCTGGGCCCTGCACATGCAATGCCACGCGTTCACCACCTCCCCACTACCCTGGCACCTTCCCCACACTTGTGCCCCACAGTAGAGCCTTGCTCTGCCTGAGGCAATCTGGTAGGTGGGCCTGGAGAAGACTCCATTGTAAAGAAAGGGATCAGCACAGTGGAGACGTCACTGGGGGGGTTAAGGGGAGGCAGCGATGACCAGAATTCTTTAGAGCCACTAGAATGGGATGATTGTCTTAGCAGCCCAAGCTGGAGAGTGTGGTTCAGGAGATTCCTTTGTCAATCTGATGTTTTACAAAGGAAGAGAATACCTCTTCCCTCTTCTTTTGCCTTGTAGGTAATGAGTTTGTGTGTGTTGGTGGGCAGGAGGTGGTAGAGATTATTGCAATTGCTGCATAATTGAGGAAACTAGAGCAGGTCTAAACCAGAGAAACTTCCTGAGAGGAAGAACTCATCAGCTCAACAATGAACTATAGTCTGAGAATGTTGATCTTTACAGACCCCTAAAACAGGCCCCATCCCCAAGTGATAAATATCCAGGTACCTGCCATCCTTAAGTGAGAAAAAAACCTAAGGCATGAAATTAAATTAAATTTGAGAGTTGAAAGGGACCTGAGAAGTCACCCAGTCTAGCCAGCGATGGGGAACTCACTCCCTCACCCTGCAGCCTGTCTCATTTTTGGGCAACTCTTTTTGGTTAAAAAGTTTGCTCTTCCATTGAGTGGAAATCTGCCTCCTTGAAATGTGTACATACTGATTCTGGCTCTTCCCTTGAGAGAGAGCAGATTTACCCTGGTTCCTCTTCCGTGTATGGCTCTTCAATTATTTTTCAGAACACTGCCCATTCTACACCTCCACCCCCAGAGTCGTCTTGTGCCTCTGCAGTGCTTTTCCTCAGGGTGCATTCTCCCTACCTCTACATTATTCCAAATCCTGTCTCTGCCTGGGCCAGTCCAAGTCACTTGCTTTCCAGTTTTCCAGATGAAAAGCCATCTTTTCCTCCTTTGTACTGGTTTTGAGGTTCACATCCTATCTTATATTCTAATTATTTTTGTCCCCAAGGACTTTTCTACTAGACTATGTAAGCAAATGAAGACCTGTGTCTATTTACATTGCCCAAGGGCTTTACACACCAAACACATTTTTGAGGTTCCTCCTGTTTGGAATATTACTTTCCTAGCTTTGCCCTTGGCTTACTCTTTTTATTCAGGTCTCAGCTCAAATGTCAGCTTATTGGTGTGACCCCCACTGACCACCCCATTGAAAGCAGCACATTCATCCTCTCGCTGACCCCTTTGGCCTCTATATTGTTACCTTCTTTTATTTTTTTCTTTGCATTTATCACCATTTGATGGATTATAGACTTGTTTATGTCTCTAACTACTTGAATGCAAGCAAGGACTTTGCATTGTTCTTAACTAATTAGTTAATTAATTTTTTATAGAGACAGAATCTCACTCCATTGCCCAGGCTGGAGTGCAGTGGTGCAATTTTGGCTCGCTGCAGCCTCAGCATCCCAGGCTCAAGTGATTCTCCCACCTCAGTCTCCTGAGTAACTAGTGCTACAGATGCACACTACTATACCCAGCTAATTTTTTGTTTTTTTGTAGAGATGAGGTCTCACTATATTGCCTAGGCTGGTCCTGAACTCCTGGGCTCAAGTGATCATCCAGCCTCAGCCTCCCAAATTGCTGTGATTGACAGGTGTGAGCCACTGCACCCAGCCTGCATAGTTCTTTCCATATCCCTAGTACCTAGATCAGTGTATGCCACAAGGCGACTGAGAGTTGCTTGATAAATGCTTAGTACATGAGTGAACTGGGAAAAAACTAAAATTTTTCTGCCAAGCTTCTGTGTGAGTCATTCAAACACTTGATGAATGTGTGATCATCTTTCACCATCTGCATATTCCAGTTGAAGAAAAACCTGGCCCAGGACCAAACCTGAACTCTTGATGTCGCCTGACCAGTGCTAACTAGAGTGGCTCTATCAACTTCCTGCATCTCAAAGACAGTGCAGTGGCAGGGGCAAGTGTAGGTTTCGGAAGCACACTAGACCCAAACTCCAGTGCATCTTTGTGTGGCCTCCACCCAATGGCTACAACAGGGCCACTCCAGGAAAGGCCTGGAAAATCACTATGGGGCCTCTTGCCTGGGGACACAGCCAGACCCTCTCCCAGGAACACTTCCCTGTCGATTCCAGGGGTTTCAAACAGACTTGGAGAAAACCCCTTGATTTCCCAGCCTCAGAGCACCATCTGTGTGCCAGACAGGCACAGAATTCCCAGAGCACGGGGTCTTCATGGTCTAGGATGGGAGCCGAGAAATCTGCAGGCTGTCTCTCCTCCCTCGTATCCCTGGTCTCTCCCAGCCTGTCTCTTACATCTCTCTGCAGACCTTTCAAATCACACTGGCTGCTGTTGTCACACCTTGGGAATGCACAACAGCGCCCTCTGCCTAGTCCATCTGCTAGTCCCTCGGCTTCCATCCCCTGAGGCAGGGGACAAAGATGAATGAGAGACTTGGTCCCATCCTTTAATTGGTCACTCCAGTGGAGGCACTAGGGGTGTGTTCACTGACTGGGGCTTTGTGTCCAGTGATGGGTTGTGTGGAGGTCACGTGAGTGACTGTCACCCCATTGCTCCTTCCAGCTCCCTTAGTCCTCCTCTGTGCCTGGTAGGTGCTGTGTACATGAAACTTTATGCTATGTTATTTGTGAGCTTGTCTGAATATTTCTCTAAATCATACACCCCACAGGGCAAGGCCTAATTATGTCTGTATTCTCCCAAAGGCCAACAAAATGCCTTATACCCCTGTGGGCGTTCAAGAAAGATGGGTTCAATAAGAGAATGAGCATTCAGCCTGCGTGTTACAGTGATGCAGAATGAGTGAACCTAGGCCCAAGGGTAGTGTCCCTAGTGGTCTGGCCCGGCTGATGGGCAGCTCTTTGAAAGAGGTTTATTGTGTACTGCAGACTGAACCCAGGCCCCCAGGCATCCACCAGACCTTAGCACATTTCCGTGTTTCATAGCAACACTGTGCTTGGAGGTTAAGATTATGTTAGTCTTTTAAATTATCATCACAGCTTATTCCTCCTCATTCTCTTCTTCCCTCTCCTTTTATTCCTCTTCTTTTTCACCAGGGCGTCTTTTCTCTTAGATCCAAGGTGATCTTTTTCAGGCCCTAGGAGACTTTGCATGTGGCCTTGGGCATTTACATGGTTCCTCTAGGGCAGCTGGCGACCCTATGTCCTGAAGCATTCTTGAAGTTAATGTGAGCCTTTTAATTATTTTGATATTTCATAAACTCTGGGGAAATTGTATATTTGCCTGAAATCCAACTACATGCATAGCCTTTGCTTTCATGTTCCTTTACTTATGGTTGGAATCACATCACTAATTGCCCCCTGCTGATCAAAAGATCTGATTGACAGTGATATATGTCTTGAGTTAAAATTGGATAAGTGAATTTTGCTCACCCATGCTTTGTTAGGTAGCTTTTGTTTTTCTTTTTATCATACAAAGTCTGTGTGGGGAGATTTGCGAGAAATGTGGGAACGGGTCAGGGTCTCCTATGGGAAGAGTTAAGGGAGAAGGGGTGTCTCTCCTCCGGGCTGTGTCCCCATCCGGCAGGTGGCAGGCATTCCAGACCCTGGTGTCCAAGCGGCGGGAGGCTGTGGACTCAGCCCTCCGAGTGCACAACTACTGCGTGGATTGTGAGGAGACCAGCAAGTGGATCACAGACAAGACAAAGGTAGTAGAGTCCACAAAAGACCTGGGGCGGGACCTGGCAGGTGTCATCGCCATCCAGCGGAAGTTGTCAGGGCTGGAGCGTGATGTGGCCGCCATCCAGGCCCGTGTGGATGCCCTGGAGCGTGAGTCCCAGCAGCTGATGGACTCGCACCCTGAGCAGAAGGAGGACATTGGTCAGCGGCAAAAACACTTGGAGGAGCTGTGGCAGGGCCTGCAGCAAGCCCTGCGGGGCCAGGAGGACTTGCTGGGGGAAGTCAGCCAGCTACAGGCCTTCCTGCAGGATCTGGATGACTTCCAGGCCTGGCTCTCCATCACCCAGAAGGCTGTGGCCTCCGAGGACATGCCCGAATCCCTCCCAGAGGCCGAGCAGCTCCTGCAGCAGCATGCAGGTATCAAGGATGAGATTGATGGGCACCAAGACAGCTACCAGCGTGTTAAGGAGTCTGGGGAGAAAGTGATCCAAGGCCAGACGGACCCAGAGTATCTGCTTCTGGGCCAGCGGCTGGAAGGCCTGGATACCGGCTGGGATGCCCTGGACAGGATGTGGGAGAGCCGCAGCCACACCCTCGCTCAGTGCCTTGGCTTCCAGGAGTTCCAGAAAGATGCCAAGCAGGCCGAAGCCATCCTCAGCAACCAGGTAGAGAGGCATTCAGGGCTGGGACAGGCGGGTCTCTCTGGGCAGTAGCTCTTGTGGTGAGTCCACAAATGTGCTGTAAGGCTCAGGGACCACATTACTCTTGTCTTGTACTCTGTATTCACTCATGGGGGAAATCTTTGTTTCTCATTAGGTGCCTTTTCCAGCCCTATGCCTTGTTCCTGGGTTCCTGGGTCTATCAGAGGCTAGAGAAGCGCATTTTGCCCTGGGTGGTTAGTCTTCCATGTGGCTTTAGACACACTGTTTATTGGTGCCCCTGGGGTAGGAGTGGGGGCAAGACCTGGGGAGTAGCACCTCCTCCCTGCTCATTCAGGGGGCTCATTCAGACTGTGGCCTGTGTGGCTACACGTGGTGCTCCCACTTGGTAGGCGTGCTCATCACCTCCTCCATGTGTCTTCATGCCTTGTCTGGAAACTTGCTCCAACAGGAATACACTCTGGCTCACTTGGAGCCCCCAGACTCCCTGGAAGCTGCAGAGGCTGGGATCCGGAAGTTTGAGGATTTCTTGGGGTCTATGGAGAACAACCGGGATAAGGTCTTGAGTCCTGTGGACTCTGGAAACAAGCTGGTAGCTGAGGGAAACCTGTACTCAGACAAGATCAAGGAGAAGGTGCAGCTGATTGAGGACAGGTACTCCCGGGCCCCAGGGCCACGAGGCCCCCAGAGCCACAGAGGGGTAGTAGTGCCACGCGAGGACCCCAAGCTCGGCACTATTGTGACTATGCCTTTGGCTTCCCTTCCAGGCACAGGAAGAACAATGAGAAGGCCGAGGAGGCCTCTGTCCTCCTGAGAGACAACCTGGAGCTACAGAACTTCCTCCAGAACTGCCAGGAGGTGAGGCTCCAGCAAGGAGCAGCCGCTTTCCTGGAGATTCCTTTCTAGAAGCAGAGTGCCCTCAAGGGGGGAAGTCCATAGGGATCCTTTGTAGCCCACGAGCTGTGGGATTCCATGAGCGGGGACCTCTAGGTACTTAATTGGGTCATCCTCTAGAATCTTCAGTTGCACTTTTTTTTTTTTTTCAAATCTGAAAAGTCCTCCTTAACTTGTCAAGTCTAGGCCAGAGTTTCTTAAGAGTAGTCTAGGGACAGTCTATTTTAGAATCACCTAAGACCCAGTCTGGGCCAGCTTCAAGGATGTGTGACCTATGTCACACCCTGTGCTTAGCTTAGAAGGGTCCTGGGCTCAGTTTAATGCTCTACTCTTGCCATCTTGAAATTCTTCATGCTTTTGAACAACTCCATTTTGTACTGGGCCCTGCAAATTATGGAGCCAGTCCTGGTCCTAGTTAAAGCAGACCCCTGGGTCTCACTCAGGCCAGATGAATCAGAACTTTAAGGGGTGAGACAGAGAAATAACATTTTAAACAAACCTGCCAGTTGGAAAACTGCTGGCTAGGAAGGTCCTTGCTCAACCTGGGGCCAGCTGTACAAGGAAGGTCTTTAATCCGCCTTCCCAGGTCCCTCCACTGACAGTACTTTCTACGTGGAATGGGGTTTTCCTTGACATCTTTCTTGTCATACTTCTTTTCTGTCAGCCCAGGCAACTTTATTTTCATCAACCTCTGTCCTTGGCTTCTTCCTCAAATAACATTTTTTTCCTGTGTTTATCAAGGATCTCTCACCAAACTGCCAAAGGATGGATTTATGCATCCATCCAGTAAATACTCTTTGGGTTCCTAGAATATGCTAGGCCCTGTCGTAGGTCCTCGAAATATGGAGAGAAGAGTAAAGTATCCCTGGTCTCACACCATACACACTCTAGTGGGGAAGATGCACCTGTGCCCACATTTTAGCCCCGGCCTGTCATGGGTAAAGTTGCCTGTGCTGGTCCAGAGGGATCCAGAACTGCAGATGAATTCTCTTCTGTGCTTGCACTTCCTCCCCATGGGCTTCTCCTTCTGCAGCCAGGGATGGGCAGCAGGTTCTGCCCTGCCAAAGAAATATACTCAGGGACAGTCAGCCCACTCTTTATGCACACAGCTCACTCTTTGGATCAACGACAAGCTGCTGACATCTCAGGATGTCTCCTACGATGAAGCACGAAACCTTCACAATAAATGGCTGAAGCACCAGGCGTTTGTGGCAGAGCTGGCTTCCCATGAAGGGTGGCTAGAGAACATTGATGCGGTAAGTAAAGTGAGTGGGTGGTGGAGGGCACTCTGCTCAGATAGGCTTGCCTGGATGGGGCTTCACCCAAGGTGTGGACACTGTCCTAAAGCTTGCTTACAGTACAGAACGTGGCAGCAAACAACCTTTCTAAATAGTAGTTAAACCTTCAGAGGTCCTGATATAGTCAGTCTTAGTACACCTGGTCAGAATCAGTGCCTCTTCTGGATCACCTGAATCTAGGAACAAGCCCAGGACACTGAGGACATCTAGTTGGAGCTTCAATGTCCAGTGCCAGGACAGCAGTTGTTAATGTTTGCTTTCCATTGCCCTCACTAGGGCTCCGGCACTGTCCTGCACAGGGCTGGAGGAATAGGCAAGATGATCAGAATGGTCCAGGGGATCCATTAATCCTCATCATTTGGATGGGCAGAACCACTGGGGAGTGGTTGTTTCCACTCCTTGTAGATGGTGAACTAAGGGACCCCTCTGTCGAGAGTTTGCCCAGTGGACAAGTCCAAATGTGGCTGGAATTAGATGTGGAAATCACTGCCTTTGCTCCTCTCTACCGTAGCTGTCCATGAAAAAGCAGCCCTAGGATCAGACTGATTTCTTAACCTCCCTGTGCCTCAGTTTCTTCCTCTATGAAATGAGAGTAATAATAGGACCTTCCCAGTGGAGTTGGGAGCACTAAATACTTAAAGACAAATGAAACATTTAGCATAGTACTTGGCAATTATGAGACACTCAATAAATAGTAACTTTTAGGCCAGGCACAGTGGCTCGGCTGTAATCCCAGCACTTTGGGAGGCCGAGGTGGGCAGATCACTTGAGGTCAGGAGTTCAAGAACAGCCTAGCCAACATGGCGAAATCCCATCTCTACTAAAAATACAAAAATTAGCTGGGCATGGTTGCATATGCCTGTAATCCCAGCTACTCAGGAGGCTGAGACACAAAAGGGTTTAAACTGGCGGGAGGAGTTTGCAGTAAGCCAAGATTATGCCACTACACTCCAGCCTGGGCAACAGAGAGAGATTCTGTCTCCGAAAAAAATTAACTATTATTACCGATATAGACTCCTAAGTCCAATTTATATCACATTGTGCCCACCCAAAAATGATACATCTATGCAGATGAAAACCAGACAAGGCAACTTCAGTAACCAAAGGAGGTCAGTGAAGGTTAGTGCACAACCTCGGGAACTCACGGGGCAGTTTCTGCATTGGCTGTACTTGGATGGGTCTGGAATCCTTTTTCTTGCAGCAGCTGACCCTTGTCTGCAGCTCCTGTGCTGCAGTCTCCCTGAATCATTGCCCCCAGTGCTGCTCTCCCTGCCCAGCTTCCCCTACCAGCAGTGTCTAACCCTTTGAATATGAGGACTTTTTCCTTGTCTGTGGTGGTGCATATCATGAAAATTATGCACAGACTTTTTTTTTTCACTCATCAGCTATTATGTTAATGTATTTTATGTGTGTCCCAAGACAATTCTTCTTCCAATGTGTCCCAGGGAAGCCAAAAGGTTGGACACCCCTGCTAATGCTGGGGATTCAGAGTCAATTTCAGTTGCACCTCATCCACATTCTATGAAGATTCTTCACCTTGCTGATCTCCTCTTGGGTAGTCTCTTGCAACCATTAGGAGCAGGGCTCACCCAAGGCCCATTCAGCCCAGAATGTGAGCTCTCCTCCTTCTTGCCCCTAGGAAGGAAAGCAGCTGATGGATGAGAAGCCCCAGTTTACAGCCCTGGTGTCCCAGAAGCTGGAAGCCCTGCACCGGCTCTGGGATGAGCTGCAGGCCACCACAAAGGAGAAGACCCAGCACCTCTCAGCTGCCAGGAGCTCCGACCTGCGCTTGCAGACCCATGCTGACCTCAACAAGTGGATCAGCGCCATGGAGGACCAGCTGCGGTCAGATGACCCGGGCAAGGACCTGACCAGTGTCAATCGGATGTTGGCTAAGCTGAAGGCACGTGAGTGGGTTGTAGACTTAGAGTGTTAAGATAGAAGGGGTCGTGGAAGCCAATCTGACACCTTTATTTTTAATTTTAGGTTTGGGGGTACATGTGAAGGTTTGTTACACATGTCATGGGGGTTTATTGCACATATTATTCCATCACCCAGGTTTTAAGCTCAACACCCAATAGTTATCTTTTCTGCTCCCCTCCCTTCTCTTACCCTCCCCCCGTCAAGTACACCCTAGTGTCTGTTTCGGTTGCGCCTCACCCACATTCCATGAAGATTCTTCGCCTTGCTGATCTCCTCTTGGGTAGCCTCTTGCAACCATTAGGAGCAGGGCTGACCCAAGGCCCGGTCAGCCCAGAATGTGAGCTCTCCTCCTTCTTGGCCCTAGGAAAGAAAGCAGCTGATGGATGAGAAGCCCCAGTTTATAGCCCCGGTGTCCCAGAAGCTGGAACGCCTACTGTTGTTTCCTTGTGTTCATAAGTTCTTCTCACTTAGCTCCCACTTATAAGTGAGAACATGTGGTATTTGGTTTTCTGTTCCTGCATCAGTTTGCTAAGGATAATGGCCCCAGCTCTATCCATGTTCGCACAAAAGACATGATCTCGTTCTTTTGTGGCTGCAAAGTATTCCATGGTGTATATGTATCATATTTTCTTTATCCAGTCTGTCATTGATGGGCATTTAGGTTGAGTCCATGTCTTTGTTATTGTGAACAGTGCTACAGTGAACATAAGTGTACATGTATATTTATGGTAGAATGCTTTACATTCCTCTGGGTATATACCCAGTAATGGGATGGCTGGGTCAAATAGTAGTTCTGCTTTTAGCTCTTGAGGAATTGCCATACTGCTTTCCACACTGGTTGAACTAATTCACACTCCCACCAACAGTGTATAAGGGTTTCCTTTTCTCTGCAACCTCGCCAGCATCTCTTATTTTTTGGTTTTTTAATAATAGCCATTCTGACTGGTGTGAGATGGTATCTCACTGTGGTTATGATTTGCATTTCTCTAATGATCAATGATATTGAGCTTTTTTTCATATGTTTTTGCCTGCATGTGTGTCTTCTTTTGAAAAGTATCTGTTCATGTCCTTTGCCCACTTTTTAATGGGATTGTTTGTTTTCCTCTTGTAAATTTAAGTTTCTTATAGATGCAGGATGTTAGACCCTTACCAGATCCATAGTTTGCAAATATTTTCTCTCATTTTGTAGGCTGTTTACTCTGTTGATAGTTTCTTTTGCTATGCAGAAGCTCTTAAGTTTAATTAGATCTCATTTGTCAATTTTTGCTTTTGTTGCGATTGCTTTTAGTGTCTTTATCATGAAATCTTTGCCCATTCCTATGTCCAGGATGATATTGCCTAGGTTGTCTTCCAGGCTTTTTATAGTTTTGAGTTTTACATTTAAGTCTTTAATCCACTTGAGTTTATTTTTGTATATTGTGTAAGGGAGGGGTCCAGTTTCAATTTTCTGCATATAGCTAGCCAGTTCTCCCAGCACCATTTATTAAATAGGGAGTCTTTTCCTCATTGTTTGTTTTTGTCAGCTTTGCAAAGATCAGATGGTGGTAGGTGTGTGGCCTTATTTCTGGACTCTCTATTCTGTTCCATTGGTCAATATGCCTGTTTTTGTACCAATACCATGCTGTTTTTGTCACTGTAGCCTTGTAGTGTAATTTGAATTCCGGTAATGTGATTCCTCCAGCTTTATCCTTTTTGCTTAGGATTGCCTTGGCCATTCAGGCTCTTTTTTGGTTTCAGATAAATTTTTAAATAATTTTTCTAGGCTGGGCATGGTGGCTCATGCCTGTAATCCTAGCACTTTGGGAGGCCAAGGCAGGTGGATCACCTGAGGTTGGGAGTTCGAGACCAGCCTGACCAACATGGAGAAACCCTGTCTCTACTAAAAATACAAAACTAGCTGGGTGTGGTGGTGTACCCCTCTGATCCCAGCTACTTGGGAGGCTGAGGCAGGTGAATCACTTGAACGCAGCAAGCAGAGACTGCAGTGAGCCGAGATCGCACCATTGCACTCCAGCCTGGGCAACAAGAGCAAAACTCCATCTCAAAAATAATAATAATAATTTTTCTAGTTCTTTGAAGAATGTCATTAGTGCTTTGATAGGAACAGCATTGAATCTGTAAATTGCTTTGAGCAGTGTAGCCATTTTAACTATATTAATTATTCCTATCCATGAGCATGAGATGTTTTTCCATTTGTTTGTGTCTTCTCTGATTTCTTTGAGCACAATCTGGAACCTTAAAGTAAGCACTCCTACTCTTTCTCTTAACTGGACTTGCTTTTATCATGCAAAAATGTCGCCTGGTTTCTAATCCATCTCCAACCCCTTTTGCAGTGGGTAGGACAGAGACCCAAAAGGATGCATGAGAAACAGAACAGGCACTCAGACGAGGGAAAGATGAGTGGGAGCATCCAAGGAGACTCCTTGGAGGAAGTTGAGCTCAAATTGGTCCTGAAAGGAGGGGTGGGATGCAGATGAATGAAGAAGATGGAGGGGCTGTCCAGGCGCCCAGGCTGGTGCTGACACCGTCCCCTTATGTCTCAGCGAGTGGAGGACCAAGTGAATGTGCGGAAAGAGGAGCTGGGGGAGCTGTTTGCCCAGGTGCCTTCAACAGGAGAGGAGGCAGGAGACGTAGACTTGAGCATCGAGAAGCGGTTCCTGGACCTCCTGGAACCGCTGGGGAGGAGGAAGAAGCAGCTGGAATCATCCAGAGCCAAGCTGCAGATCAACCGGGACGTAGAGGATGAGACGGTGCGTGGGCCGCAGCTTCTCCCCACCCCCTGAGGCGGAGCCACCAGCTGCCATCAGAGTAGCTGGCTGCCACCCAGAGCAATTCTTGGCAGCAGATGACTGGTCACCTCACTCCTCATCTCATAGGGGTGTTGTGAGGATTACATTAAATAGAAAGCTCAAGTCAGTGCTTTTGTTGGGAACTCACTGTTCACTTGCTAGTACTGCTCAGTGAAGAACATGGACTTTGGGGTCAGACAGACTTGGGTTCGAGATCCAGCTACATTACCGTCCCACTGTCTGACTAGGAGCAAGTTATTTGGAACCTCAGTTCAAAATCCCTGAATATTCCCATCTATTAAAGGGGGACAAAACCCTGATGGGGTGTTGGGAGGAACTGGGGAGACACTGCCAGCAAAGCTCTACCCCGCCCATGGTGAGCACTCGGGAAAGGGTGGTCATGATTGTCATCAACTCTCCCCTGCCTTCTGGTCTCTGCAGCTCTGGGTGGAGGAGAGGCTGCCTCTGGCCCAGTCAGCCGACTATGGCACTAATCTGCAAACCGTGCAACTGTTCATGAAGAAGAACCAGGTGAGTCCTGCCTCACCTCGCCAGTCGTACCCGCCCCTCCTCACCCCCACCTGGCCCCACAGGGGTAGGCCCAGCCCTGGCCTGCAGAAGGCTAGCAATGGCAGGTTAGTGTTCCTGTTGGCAGCTTTGGGGTCTCCAAACCGTATTGGTAGTCTTAGAGCAGAAAGAGCAGGTTTTTGTGATTATAGAGCAAATTCTGGGAGGATCACAGAGGAGGGAGGAATCCTGCTGCTTGGGGATTCAGGGCCATTCAGCCTCCGTCAGGCACCGGTGAATGCAGGATCTTGGGGGCCCTGGCCTGGAGGTTGATGTGCTTCAGTAGCTGTGTATTCAGTGTGTCCACTGGTCTGCCTGCGAGGAAGGCAGTAACTCCTGGTCTCTCTCCCACAACACTGCCTTGCCCCTCTTCCAGGGCTGAGCTTGGCATGTGCGGTGTCCTTGGGGTAAGTAGGCCCCATTTCTCTGGACATGTGAGGATACTTGTGGGGCTCAAATTCCATTAGGAAGCCACTAACTTTGGACTCTGAGCCCTTGGAGCAAACATCCCTCTGCTTTTTGGCACTCGCTTAGCCCTGATTGGGAGCTCCTGTGGCCCTGATCAGAATCCTGGACGTGAGCAGATGTGAAGCACTCCCTCTTGGATCAGGGCTGCAGCGGGAGCCTGAATCATGCAAGGAAGCTGGCTGTGTGGGGTCGTAGCAGCCAGAGAGATGGCCACAGACCCTTCTTGGACAGAGAGACCCTCCCTCTGCATGCTCTCTGGGTCAGTAAGGAGAGCCCAGGAACTTAGATCCCAGAGAAAAGCGACATGTCCCAGAGTGCCCTGTTAGTACTGCAACTCCTTGAGGAAGGAAGGTCATAGCAGACAGCACTCCCTTTCCCCCATGTTGGCAGCAGCTGACATCTGCTCACAGGACCGTTTGAGCCCAGCAGCAGTGCAGAGGCCTGGATTATATTCAGAGAGGTTTCTTCAAAGCTGCCTTAGGCCCTTTGCTTCTGGTTGATGTGATCTGGTCGCAGAGACTCCAGCAGCCACATGCAGGGACCTGGGCTAGAAGATGATAGAAATCCATCCTCAGTTAATGCCACAACCTTCAGCTAAAGGTGGAAGGCTGGTAGGACACAGTATCCTTGGGACCTTAGTTTCCTTAATTATAAAATGAGCCAACTCTAGTCTTTCCAACACTAGGATTTTTGATTCTGTGCAGCCTCTATAAGTGTTATTGTTCAAAGGTTTTTAACTCCCCTGGCTGGCAGTTGCTATTTCAGGAAAAGGACAAGACAAATATGGATGGGGTTCCCCTAACCAAGAAGGGAAAGGCAGCCTCTTGGGAAAGTGTGACTGTCCTAGTGAAGACTATTTTAGGCTCACCTGGCTAAACCATTTTTATCATTTTCCCACTTAAAACCCTCTATTGCAATGGTTCTCAAACTCCACATGCAACTCCTTTAACAAGCCCTCTGGGTGAGTTTACACAACTTAACCGGGTGCCACCCCCAGATCTGCTGCATCAAGCTCTGCGGGTAGAGCCTGATAATTTGCATTTCCAGCAAGATCCTGGGTGATGCTGATGCTGCTGGTTCAGGACTCCACTTTGGGGACCACTGCTCTCGGGACTATTCATTGCAATTAGAACACATTCCACAAGGTACTACATGAAGAGTTCTCACACCGGGCTGTACACTCAAATCACCTAGGCAACTTTTAGACAGGTGAATGCCCAGGTCCCACCTCAGATCAATTAGGATCTCTGGGGGTAGGCTCCTAGCTGCATCTATTTCCCTGGGTTATTCAGTGGGCAATCAGGATTAAGAACCAGTCATGCCTGATATGGCCCCTGCCTTCCTCTGAATCTCAGCTCTTCTCACTTTGCCCTCCTTCACGGTATTCCAGCTCTTCTTGCCCTCTCTGTGGCCTCAGACAGTCCCAGCTCAAGACCACCCCAGAACCTTTGCATTTGTTCAGTCCTCTTGCCAGGAACACTCACCTCCAGATCTCTGTGTGACTGCCTCCCTCCCGTCATTCATGTCATGGTCAAGTGTCGTCTCCTCAGAGGGGCCCTCCCTGACTCCCTTAGCTAAAGTGGCTCCTGCCACATCGCAGCAGACATTCTTCATCCCACTGTTGTCTTTTCCTCGTAGCCCCCAGGGAGGAAGGCCCAGCCTTTGTTTATTCATTTATTTGCATGTTTACCTTCTATTTCCTCTACCAGGTTGTAAGCTTTAGAGTACAGGGATTTTCATTTTTCTTGTTTCTATATTGTCCCTATTACCTAGACCAGGGTCTGGTACATAGAAAAGAACTTAATACATAGTAGTTGAATGAATGAAGATGGGGAAGAAGACATTAAACGTAAGTACCCTGCACAGACACTAGAAAGTAATTGCTTAAAAAGAAAGAAATACCTTTTTAGGCTGGGCACAGTGGCTCACCTGTAATCCCAGCACTTTGGGAGGCCGAGGTAGGTGGATCGCCTGAGCCCAGGAGTTAGAGACCAGCCTGGGCAACATGGCAAAACCCCATCTCTACAAAAAATACAAAAAATTAGCCAGATGTGGTGGTACATACCTGTAATCCAAGCTACTTGGGAGGCTGAGGTGGGAGAATCATCTGAGCCTGGGAAGTTGAGGCCCAGTGAGCTGTGATTGTGCCACTGCACTCCAGCCTGAGTGACTGGAGTGAGACCCTATCTTAAAAAAAAAAAGAAAAAAATTAATTTTTAGGCCACCATGCAAAGGTCTTAAGATCTCGGAGTAACAAGCAAATGGAGCTGAAAACGTGGGTTGTTTGAATGCAATTGCAGAGACTACAGGAAATTGTAAAAATTGAGATTCCGAGCATAAAGTATACAAATGCATTTCAGCAAGTTATGTGACTTGTAGATGTGGTTATTTTGTACATATTTCAAATGCTGGCTGTCACTGTACTGCTCACGTGGGCTGCTCTTGCCCCTGCCTTCCAGTTTTAAAGGCCACAGGAAAATTATAGAGAGGGAAGAAACAGGTAGCGAGGTATATGGCGCTCAGGAGCCCACACACCAGCAGCAGCTAGCCCGGCCTCTAGGACCTAGAAAGCAAGTAGCCCGTGTCAGGGCGTCCTGAAGAAAAAGGTGACCCAGCCACCAGGGTGGGAGGAAGAGGCCATGTTTGTGACCAAAGGCTCAAACAGGGACTAATGCAAAGCTCACAAAAGATTTGAGAAATAGAAGTAGGGAAAAACGAAACAAAAGCTAAGACTGTAAACAAGGGGCTGCTGTCACCTGTTCTTTTACATGGAAGGTGAAAACTGTGCCCACCTGAGCTGCCAGGTTGTGCGGATCCCGCATAAATGATCCTGCATAAATCCTGCAAAAGCTGTTAGAACAAGGTATCAAAAAGGCCATTTTTCTTTTCCTTCCAACACATACACCTAAGGAATCAAGCTCTGCTGAAGCATAGGAAGACAGGGGACAGTCAAGAGCACAGGCTTCTGGGTCAGGTGGAGCTGTGTTCAAATCCGGCTCTGCCACTGAGTGACTTCACTGCTGCATGCCGGTTTCCACATGCTTATCTCAGCAGGCCACCTGAGGGTGCAAGAACGGTGCACGTGAGGTGCTTAGCAGCCTGCAAGAGGTCCTTGGTAGTTCTTATCGCCATCGCCTGCTCTGCTCTAGCAACAGGGGGGGTGAGAGGGACCAAGGGTGTCAGAGCTATGCTGCCACTGCAGAAATAGCCTCCCCGCCATGGTGGGAAGGCCCTGCCCTGAGCTCTTCCTTCTGGCCACAGACACTGCAGAATGAGATTCTGGGCCATACGCCGCGGGTTGAGGATGTGCTTCAGAGAGGGCAGCAGCTGGTGGAGGCAGCGGAGATCGACTGCCAGGACCTCGAGGAGCGCCTGAGACACCTGAAGAGCTCCTGGGATAGGCTGCAGGAGGCAGCGGCCGGGAGGCTGCAGCGACTGAGGGACGCCAACGAGGCACAGCAGTACTACCTGGATGCGGACGAGGCTGAGGCCTGGATTGGCGAGCAGGAACTCTACGTCATCTCTGATGAGATCCCCAAGGTCTGTTCGGGCAGGGGATACCAGCCAGGGTGCCAAGGCAGAGAGGAAGAGTTGAGGTTGGCTGTCGGTGGGGAGCCTTGTGAGTCCAATTGTGTGAGGAGTGAGGCCAGGGGAGGGGCATGAGGAACCCACAGACTCCCTGCCCTCCCTTGGTGCTTGCTTGGACATACTCTTGCAGGGCACACGCTGCAGCCAGGTGCCTGCTGTTTGCCCACTTAGGTTTGCTCTAACCCAGGGGTTCTGTACTTTTCTTTGCCATGGATTCTGTACTGGTGAACTTCTAGGAAAGAGATGAGGTGAGAGGTGACAGGTGGGGATCTCTCATTGGGATCTCTCAAAGCTGGAATGATATATGATGTTTTCATGGGGACAGGGGTTAGGGCACGAAAGGAAGGGTATATGTCAGATACAAATCGGGGGAGTCTGGAGAGGGAGGTAGGACACGGGCATTGCTGGGAAATCAGAAAGGCAGGAAGGGAACATGTGCGGCTCTCCTACGGGTGTCCCACAAGCCTGCTTCCCTCCTCCCTAAGGCACCTCCAGGAGCAGGGGCACAACTTGCCAAGGGAGGGATCATGGCCAGGCTGAGCTCTGGCGCTGACTGTCTGCTGCGTTCTAGGATGAAGAGGGCGCCATCGTGATGCTGAAGCGGCATTTGAGGCAGCAGCGTGCGGTGGAGGACTATGGCCGGAACATCAAGCAGCTGGCCAGCCGGGCCCAGGGCCTGCTGTCTGCAGGCCACCCTGAGGGGTGTGTGTGCCCCCTGGGATGACTCGGTCAGGAGATGGGGATCAAGCCAGGGGCCCACCAGCCAATGTCCCTTCAGATTTAAGAGGAAAATGGAAACAGTTTTCCCTAATAGGGCTGGAGAAAATTGCCGCAGGACTGGTGATGGATCCAATTTCATTTTATGCCTTGGTTTTGTGTGAGTCACTTCCAGCTGGGTCAACAAGGCCCTGGTTTGCAAAATGAAAAGAGAAGGGGTTAGCAAAACTACCCTCTTGGTGACCTGATAGCACCAATTTTCCAAAGGGTTACAATATGCTAAGGGACACTGAAGACTACTTTAGCTTTTCTTTTTATGGTCCAGAAGGTCTGCAGGACTTCACGGTCCAGACAGAACCACGATGTAGGAGTACAGGTGGAAACCTGTGCCTACCTGGGCTGTGAGGTTTTGTGGATCCTGCATACATGGGAGCCCACTGGGCCACAGACCACACACTGCCCCCAGCCACAGCCCTGTCCTCAGCTGCCATTAGGGTGCCCACCACTGTGGGTCCTCAGCAGCCACCCCAGATTTTCCCCGGGACCCACACTGTCTGGGCCCCTAGTATGTCCTGTCCCTCCCTGGAGGGCTGAGCAGAGTTGTTGCTGCAGGAGCCCTGCTCAGGCAGTGCTGCCCCCCCAGCCTCTCTGGAAGAATAATGGAGGCATTCCCCATTTGCACTTGTCCCTGTAAGCTTGCCAGATTGAGGGGCACCACGGGAAGCACTCCTCCAGGACAGAACTCCAGGACACAGTGTGTCATCCACTGAGGCTAGGGTGTGGCCCCTTCTCTCCCCAGCTCTTCCCCGGCAAAGCCCCTGTCATTTCTCCAGAGCTTCACTCCCTACCTATCCCTGCCAGGGGGGCTGTGGTCGGCATATGTTGGCTCCCCTGAGCCACTGCTCTGGGTTCGTGGCTGCTGTCTCTGAGGGCCTTCTTGGTTTTGAATTCCAGGGAGCAGATCATCAGGCTTCAGGGGCAAGTGGACAAGCACTATGCAGGGCTGAAGGACGTGGCGGAAGAGCGCAAGCGCAAGCTGGAGAACATGTACCACCTGTTCCAGCTCAAGCGGGAGACTGACGACCTGGAGCAGTGGATTTCAGAAAAGGAGCTGGTGGCCTCTTCCCCGGAAATGGGGCAAGACTTTGACCATGTGACTGTGAGTAGCCACAGCTCCTGCTGTCTTTGTGTTTCTCTAATGCAGTAGACGCAGCCAGCCCTTACTCGAGACACACAGAGTGCTGCACAGGATGCGACTTCCCCAGTGTGAGGTGGGACCCGCGGATGGGGCCTGCCCTGGGCAAGGTGTAAGAGTGTGGCTCCCGGTGCTGCAGTCACTGCCTGGGAATGTCTTCCGCTAAGCTGGTGACACCTATAACCCCTCTGCACCCCATAACCATATTTCTGTCTGCCCCACACCCAGCTTCTGCGGGACAAGTTCCGGGACTTTGCCCGGGAGACCGGGGCGATTGGGCAGGAGCGGGTGGACAACGTGAATGCCTTCATCGAGCGACTCATCGACGCGGGCCACAGCGAGGCGGCCACCATCGCTGAGTGGAAGGACGGGCTGAACGAGATGTGGGCAGACCTGCTGGAGCTCATCGACACGCGTATGCAGCTGCTGGCCGCCTCCTACGACCTGCACCGCTACTTCTACACGGGTGCCGAGATCCTGGGCCTCATTGACGAGAAGCACCGCGAGCTGCCGGAGGACGTGGGGCTGGACGCCAGCACGGCCGAGTCCTTCCACCGGGTGCACACGGCCTTCGAGCGGGAGCTCCACCTGCTGGGTGTCCAGGTACCTTCAGCCACCCACCTGCTACCAACTTCCAGGAGACCCGGGTGTCAGTCCCAACCTGGCTGTCAGTGGGGAAACCTCTAGGATGGGTGCCAGGAGCTTTCGCCTCCTTAGACAGCCAGGAGCTCAGGGCAGGGAGCAGTGGCTTTCAGATGTTCCTTAGCTTCAGAAGTCGTTCTTTAAACTGAATCCTCACAAAAGGCCGACGCATATAATACTATACAGTGCAGTTTCTCCAGTTGTACAGTGTTATTAGTGAACACATGCACAGCACTTTTCTAGCACCAGGTGCTTTTCTGAGCAATGTATGTAGCCATTGGACCCTCAAGGCTGTCCTCTGAGGCAGCTGCTAATATTCCCTGCACTTTGTAGATGAGAAAAGGGAGGGGTAGAGGGCCCATAAGTTTCCCAGGAACGTGTGGGTACACAGTAGAGCCAGGGCTCAGACCCTGGCAGTCTAGCTATAGACCCCACACACTTAGCACCAAGCACTTCAACCTTTCCACAAGGGAGCTGCAGAGCCCCCAAGTTCTACTGTTCAGACCCCTGCCTTCCCCGGCAAAGCCCCTGTCATTTCTGCCCTCCACAGATCCCTAGGGTCCCCCAGAGCTTGGTATGATAGAAAGGGCAAATGCAAGGTGGCCCCTGTTGCTGAGGGCTCCCCCAGCTTCCAGTGCAGCAGGGAGAGGTAGGCTGGCTGTGCAATCCCAGGCCAGCCCAGCAGGGGTTGGGGACAGAACACCAGGGTACGCTGGGCCCCTGGTTCATCCAAAAGGGGATCTCTTAGGGATGTGTCCTCCAGCTGGAGTGGAGGGCCTGGTGTGTGGCTGTTGCATTTGGGGATGCCAGGGCCCCTGAGATAGGTGTAGTCTCACTGAGATCTTAGGAGTGAGGTGTCACTGTCTCCGGGGCCAGCCTCAATCAGGGGATCTGGTGCAACCCCTTCCTTAGAGAGGCAGCACAGAGTGGTTAAGAATGGGGACTCAGGAGCACGGTGCAAATCCCAACTGTAGCCCTTTACTAGTTTGAGGGACCCTGGACCAGTTACTTAGCTTCCCTGTGCCTCGTTTTCCCCATCTCAAAAATAGCAATAGTAATAGTACCTCCTTCATGGGTTTGTTGGAAAGATGAAGAGAGTTCATCAATAGAAAGTGTTTAGAACAGTGCCTGGTACGTAGTTCCTCTCATTAGTGTACTGTTGAGGAGATCAAAGGGCACGGAGTTCCTCTCACTCCCAAACCTTCACAAAGTTCAAGAGGTATCTTGGGTAGGCAGAAGTGTCAAAGCAAGGAGCCTTCTCCTATAGCACCCCCTGGGTGGAGGCTGAAGATCCTACCTTCCAGCAGTGCCCTGAGTTGGTAGGCCAGGAGAATGTAGCTGCCCTTCCAGTCCTAGGACCACAGCACCTAGGGAACAATGTCCAGGGAACAATGTCTGGTTTTGCCTGACCACAGGTGCAGCAGTTCCAGGATGTGGCCACCCGTCTGCAGACAGCATATGCTGGGGAGAAGGCAGAGGCCATCCAGAACAAGGAGCAGGAGGTGTCTGCCATGTGGCAGGCACTGCTCGATGCCTGTGCCGGGCGCCGGACCCAGCTAGTGGACACGGCGGATAAATTCCGCTTCTTCAGCATGGCCCGTGACCTCCTCTCCTGGATGGAGAGCATCATCCGGCAGATCGAGACCCAGGAGAGGCCCAGGTGAGGGGAGCGTCCTTGAGGCAGAGGCAGCTCCTCTCCAGGCCAGAGGATCCCGGCCAACCAGGGTGCTGCACTGGGGCTCGTCCCTGGAGGGACAGTCCTGGACTATTGGTCCATGAAAATCCCTGGGGGACACTTGAGGCCTGAGGCTGGATCTAGACAGAAATGGCCTGGCTCAGCTTCCACTGGGAGGACCAATCGTTTCAGAGTCAGGAGAGTCCTGGGTGTAGAGAGAGAGACATCTGTCATTCAGGTTCTCCAATGGGCACAGTGACCATGGCTGTCAGTGAAAATAAGCAACTCACATATCCAAAGCTGGGTAGGTCTAAGATTGCGCATTCTTCTCCTAGCCCTGGGATGTGAGGGGGCCCTTCCCCCGAAACTCAGGAAGAAGCTCATTGTCCATGAGAGGAGGAGTCAGGCATTGGGCAGTGAGAGCCCCTGCAGAGATCAGACCACTCTGCCCAGTCTGTGCAACTTCATCAGTTATTGCTGATCCATCTCCATCCTTCTGCCCCTACAGTGTCTGTCCTGATGGTCTTACTTTTAACATTCTTACAGAGATATAACTCCCATACCACACTTCATCCATTTAGGGTGTATCATTCAATGGTTTTTAATATATTTGCTGTTACACAACTATCCCCACAATCTAAGGTTAGAAGATTTTCATGACTCCGTCCCTATTAGCAGTCACTCCCCATTCCCCTCTCTTCCCAGTCCCTGGAAACCACTACATGACTTTCTATCTCTCTAGATTTGCCTATGCTGGACATTTCATATAAATGGAATCATACAATATGTGGTCTTTTGTGACTGACTTCTTTCCCTTCATATAATGTTTTCAAGATGCATCCATGTTGTAGCATCAGTCAGTACCCTATTCCTTTTTATTGCCCAGTAATATTCCCAGGCTTCTTTGGGGATTTCTGTACCCACTGCCCATGCTCTGGCCACTGAGCAATGGGAGATACTAGGGCATCTGTGTTCCTGCTGGGGCTGGGCTGGCGGAGGACCCCCTGGCTGGCCAGAGAGAGAGGAGGGAGCAGGGTCTGACTCCCACAGGCACGGGGAGGTGGGCCCCTCTGGTTGGGACACAGAGGCAGGCCAGAGTGACCCAGAGTTCCCTTCTTCCCTTGTCCTCCTGTCCCCCAGGGATGTCTCCTCTGTGGAATTGCTCATGAAGTATCACCAGGGCATCAATGCAGAGATTGAAACCCGGAGCAAGAACTTCAGTGCCTGCCTGGAGCTTGGCGAGTCCCTGCTGCAGCGGCAGCACCAGGCCTCAGAGGAGGTGAGGGGACGGCAGGGATGGAGGTGAGCCAGGCAGCCTCCTGGGAGGGAGCTGACAGCTGCAGCTTTTCTGAGGAGCTTGTCTTGCTCTCACTCATAGAGATCAGAGCTGCACACAGGCCCGGGGATTGCAGCCCCAGCAAGTACACTCCCTGCCTTAAGGAGCTGGCCACTCAGTAAAGCAGAGCAGGCTCATAACCTGCCTAACACCCACAGGTGCACACACTTTGGAGTTGGTGACCTCCTTTAATAGGAGAGGCGTATAGGCCTCAGAGAGGTTAAGTAACATGCCCCAGGCCGCACAACTGGCAAGTAGCTGGGCCAAGACTTGAAGCCAGGACTGTAGGACCAAACCTGGCATTCTTTGCAGGACCCAGCTATGCACTGCCTCAGATGGGGAAGGGTTTGCCAGGCCTGAGCTTTTCTCCCTTTCCTCCCTGTAGATCCGTGAGAAACTGCAGCAGGTGATGTCCAGGAGGAAAGAGATGAATGAGAAGTGGGAGGCCCGCTGGGAGCGGCTCCGCATGTGTGAGTAGAGCCCCGGAGGCAGGGCCCGGGGGCAGGAGTACCCCCGCTGGAGTAGGGGAATAGGGAGGTGCCACCATGGGTGGATTTTCACTATTGTCTAGAGAGGAGCCCCCCACAGCACTGCTCTTCAGCAAAGCTCTGGGGCCAGGGGCCTCAGCTGTCCAGGCAGAAGGCTGGAGTGGACATGCTGCTGGAAGCCTCTAACCAGGCAGCATGCCCCCACTCCATGCCCATCCTCTGCCCCACTTGCCCCCAGCCTCATGCCCAGGCTGGTATGCCTGCAGAGCTATGCCCTGGGGGAGGGGTTGAGGGTTGGGGGAGGGGTTGAGGGTTGGGGGAGGCTGGAGTGGACATGCTGCTGGAAGCCCTAACCAGGCAGCATGCTCCCCACTCCATGCCCATCCTCTGCCCCACGGCTCCCCAGCCTCATGCCCAGGCTGGTATGCCTGCAGAGCTTACACCCTGGGGAGGGGGGTTGAGGGTTGGGGAGGGGTTGGGGTCTGGGGGAGGGGTTGAGGTTGGGGGAGGGGGCTGAGGTTGGGGGAGGGGTTGAGGGTTGGGGAGGAGTTGAGGGTTGGGGGAGGGGTTGGGGTCTGGGGGAGGGGTTGAGGGTTGGGGAGGGTGAGGCTGGGGAGGCTGAGGCTGTGGGGCGGCTGGGGCTGGGAGGGGTTGAGGCTGGGGTAGGGAGGAGGGGTTGAGGGTTGGGGGAGGGGTGAGGGTTGGGGGAGGGGTTGGGGTAAGGCTCTCATGAATCCCAGACATTCCTCCTGAGGAATATCAAGCGTAGAGGGGGCTCTTCCTCCTTCAGCTGGGCGCTGATGAGAGGTGTGGAAAAGCCACCACTCAAGGAGGAGTTGAGAGCCAAGAAGCGCCAACTGGTCCTCTGGCCACTCATCCAGCATCATGTGAGACAGCCAAGGGCTGGGAAGAATGTTCAAGGCAGAAGACTCCTTCTCAGAGACATCTAAAATACATTTTGTTTTCAAAATAGAGTTCTAATTAGTGAAAAATATAATTTAAAAAATATAACTATTGGGCCAAGCATGGTGGGTGATGTCTATAATCCCAGCACTTTGGGAGGCCAAGGCAGGAGGATTGCTTGAGCTCAGGAGTTTGAGACTAGCCTGGGCAACATAGGGAGACCCTATCTACAACAACAACAAAAATTAGTTGGGTGTGGTGGTGCACACCTATAGTCCCAGCCACATGGGAGGCTGAGATGGGAGGATCACTTGAACCCAGGAGGCTGAGGCTGCCATGAGCCGTAATCACATCACTGCACTCCAGCCTGGGTAACAGATTAAAGCCCTCTCTCTAAAAACATAGAGCCATTGTGAAGCTAGGTTAGGGGCCCAGTGTGGAATGGGGTGGCTGCAGGCAGCAAGGGTATCCATGTGGTTTAGGGACACCTATTCAGGCCACCAGCCTGACCACTGGCCCTAATCAGGAGTGAACAGTTGGGTGCTAACAGGCCCTGGGCCTTGTGGGGGGGTCTGTGTCCTGTTCCCCCTGGCAGTGCTGGAGGTGTGCCAGTTCTCGAGGGATGCCTCTGTGGCTGAGGCGTGGCTGATCGCCCAGGAGCCCTACCTGGCCAGCGGGGACTTTGGACACACAGTGGACAGTGTAGAGAAGCTCATCAAGAGGCACGAGGCTTTTGAGAAGTCCACGGCCAGCTGGGCAGAGCGCTTCGCTGCCCTGGAGAAGCCTACCACGGTGAGCAGGGAACAGTGCTGGGAGGCTCAGGAGGGTGGCAGCTATGCCCTCATGTCAAGAACTCCAGGCCGGTTAGGTAGTTAGAATGGTGTGACAGGCTTGGCCAGCAGGGACAATGGGAAGGAAAGACAAGTGGCAGGAAGTACTGACCTCCGAATGCAAAGGACAGAAGGGACTGACTATAGAAGGAATGAATGCCAGGGCGGGTGGGGGTGCAGGGCCACGTCCAGAGGGAGGTCATCTGAGAACACAACTGGCCTCTGTGGCTGCTCTGACCCCTGGGCCTTCTCCTCCTCTAGCTTGAGCTGAGAGAACGCCAGATTGCGGAGAGACCTGCAGAGGAGACTGGGTGAGTGGTGGCCATGTGTCCAGGGAGCTGAGTGCCCTGCCAAGTGGGAGTAGGGGGTGCCTTTCATCAGAAACCTGACTTTGGGACCAGTTGCATTTGACCTCTCACAGTGGGCACCCTTGTCAGGAAGGCCTGGAGTGCCTGAGCATGAGGGCAGAGGAGCTTTTGCTTCCCCAGTCACGGGCGGGCTGAAGGCCTGGTGCAGGAGGAGGGGGCCGGGAGCAGTGGCTGCCAGGTGAGGCCCTGCCTTGGAGCCACCTGAACACGGGGCCCCACAGCCTGTGCTGCCTGGAACCTGGCTCCCTTCTGAAGAATCTGCCTTGGCTTCTCCGAAGAAGTCTCTGGGCGGCTCCTTGCCGAGCACTGTCCAGGCTGCGGGCTGACTGGATGGGGAGCTATGTGGAGCTTGCTCCCTGTGGGCGTGGGTGAAAAGTCAGGCCTTGTAGGAGGCACTGGCCTCAGAGGGGTGCTTGTTTTTAAGGAGACTGTGTCTTTCTTAGGCCTCAAGAGGAGGAAGGCGAGACAGCAGGGGAGGCTCCGGTTTCCCACCATGCGGCCACTGAGAGAACGTCCCCGGTCAGTCTCTGGTCTCGTTTGTCTAGTTCCTGGGAGTCACTGCAGCCAGAGCCCTCTCACCCCTACTAGGCTCAGCCCAGGTGAAGGCGAGATGAGCTGGCGCAGCCCCGCCCTCCATCCTGCCCACATCCCTGCAGCCACCTCCCAGCAGAGCAGGCTGCGTCCTCATTCAGGTGTTCCGCATGAAAGTACTGGCCTTCTCCACTCCTCGCCTCAGCGCAGAGGAAACAGGCCAGCCCAGTGACATGACGTTATTAGCTTGGTTTTATCTAATAAATTTTATTGTATAAATATATCACCATTTACATGAGGGGAAACACTAGCCAGAGATGATTAGTGCATTTCTGTACCGTCCTTTCCATTTTCCAACTCCTTCCTCTAGGCAGTACTCACCCCTGCACCCACACCTACACACATGCACACGCACACACACGCATGTGCACACAAATACACACACGCACAGTCACCACACCGCCCATACACACACCTCACGCACAACCACACACCCACATACTCATGCACATATGCACACACCACGCCCACCCACATGCACACGCAACACATACACCCCACACACACACGTACACGCTCATACACACACCCCCCACCCACACATCCACACTCACACACGTACATGCTCATACACCATACCCCACACGCACACCTACACTCCCACCCCCACCCCACCCACACACGTACACACACCACACCCCCACACACACACTTACACATACACACCACATCCATACACATCCACACACGTACACACACCACACACCCACCCACACACGTACACACTCGTACACACACCACACCCCACATACCCACATGCACACACCACAACCGCCCCCCACACACACACACACACATCACACCCCCCCCGTACGCACACCCGCACTCTCACACACACACACACCACTCGACTGTCCCATCCCACCTGCCCCACTGCAGGCATCTTCGGTGGTGAAGTGGGGCTGCCCATCCTTGTAGGCTATTCCTTCCCCCTATGCAGAGCCCTCTCCTCTTTCCACCGACCTCGCCTGAGGCCGGTGGGTCAGTGAGTCTGGATATGGAGCTGGTTCTGGGACAAGAACAGACTTGAAGGAAGTCTGCAAAATTGAAGAGAATCCCAGGGCTTTGAGTAACAGGGGTCATCCCCCCAACTTGTAGGAAAGGAGGTTGAGCCAGAGGCCTGGCTCAAAGGACAGGGAGAGCCCAAGACAGCAGCTACCAGAGGCCTAGGGCATGTGCCTCAGAACCTTACCTGGAGCAGGCCCCTTAGGACCCCATGGGGTCTGTGCAGGGAGGTTGGGAGGCTGTCACCCAGGCTTAGGGAACTGCTCTGGGGAGCAGCTGACCGAGAAGAAAGCAAGAATTCAGCACACGGCTTGCATGGCTTCCCCCTGCATGTCCCCGCTGTGGCAGGCTGCACTGGGGGTCAAGGGAGCCACAGATCCTTCCTGCGGCCTACCTCTCCAGGTGCCCGGTGAGCCTGCCTGAACCTGGGGGTGAGGTTAGGAAGACAGGCATTCCAGATGGAAGTTTCTGGTACACCAGTCACCCCCAGAAACGTGTACGAACAGTGAAGCCTCCCTTTTTCAACCCTTCTCACCATCTGAGGGAGATGCCCTCCCCAACTCCCCCTACCCCCGTTCCCCCCCGTTCCCCCTCACCCCCCCACACACACCCCTCTGTGGCCTCCAGCCTGGCTAGAGGCCTCCCTTTCATAGCTGCACCAGCCCACCATGCCCAGCAGAGGGCACTGCTGGGCTCCTGCTGAAGGGTCTCTCCCAGAAGTTCCCTCTGAAGCTCCCGGTGTGGCATGTGGGGTCTCGCTTCCCTGTCTGTGGTGGACTCCGTCCCAGCCCCTTTTTCCCAGCAACAGCCCCTGCCGGAAGGAGAGCAAACTTTGGGGACCCGGCATAGACTGCGTACACGGGCTGGGGCTGTCCCTGCGCCCTGCCCCCGCCTGCTTCTGCCGTGCGTCCCTGTGTGTCTGCATGTGGCAGTGTCCTGGTGTGCGGGCTCCTCGGTGAGCACCAGAGCGACTCCATCCATTGTCTGTGTCATGTGTGTCCGTGCAAATGTAATTACTTGTGCATCAGAGCCGCCTCCAGCCAACACCTGAATGTCACCGGGTTGGGGGGAATAAAACCTGTTTGGACCTGATGATCTCTTTGGGGGAAGGAGTGAGCCCACATTCGAGACCCCTTCCGGAGAGCCAGCCACTCCAGCAGATGGGAAGACTGGACTGTGCCCGGTGCCGGAAAGAAACCAGATGGTGACTCAACACCAGACCCAAGGCCTCATGCACAGATTTCCTGCTGCTGCTGTCTTCTGAGCCCTTTGTTAAGTTTTCATGGGGATCCATGAACCTCAAGGTATTAGGCCCTCCTAATACCCCATCCGCATTCGATGCGAGAAAGAGGAGGACACAGCCTGTTGGGAAAGCCCAACCTGGCTCTGGAAGAGTCCTCGCAAGTCCAACGGCCGGTCCCTCCAGCCTGCCTGGCCGGGACTACCCCTTCACAGAACCCCAGGCCTCTCCCAGGGAGCAATGACCAATGGCTGCGCCTCCCCTCTGGGATAGGCCTGGGGGATGGTGGCTCTCCTGCTGGTCCTCTGTGTGTGGTCTGGTGTCAGTGCCCTATAGAATAGATCCATGCGGTGTTGCTTCATGTACAACCCCTCACTGTGTATGTCGGCTTCCTGCTGGGGGGAACTGATGGGAGTGGACCAGGCACCCCTGCTCCTGTCTGGACAGCTGCACACTACAGGGCAGCACCCCTCCCCAATCCTACCCTTCCCTGTGTGTGTGTGCACATGGTGACTGGAGCTGCCATCCCACACATCAGCCTCTTTCTCAAGCACATCACTGCACGGTCCCACCACCTTCCCTCACCTCTTGCCTTTTCACATTAGAGCGTGTTCTGGTAAAGGCCAATACGTTCATAAAGGTAAGTGCATAGGAGGCCAGGCAGAAGAAACGAGACCTCACTCACAAAAGACAAAACTGCTGGAGGGGAAGTCAGGACATCTGGGTTCTAGTCCTCAATTCTGTTGGAAACTTCCTGCATGATTTTAGATAAACCACCTAATCCCCTGTGTCTCCATGCTCTTATAAAGCCTTCTCTGGAGAATTACTGAAAGTCTGGAACATTCCTGTATGTCAGCAATTTAGCAAATTATAGGGAGGGGCTGGGAGAAGTAGTTTTCACCACTTTCCTCTTGCCTGGTGCTTAGTGCTATGGTACCCAGCTGGTCTCAGGTACCCACTGGTGTAAGACAGGAGATGGAAAAGAGGAAGTAAAGGACTAGGGTGTTTGCCTTTGTCCCTGTGGGGGAGTAGAGGTGGGGCTGCACCTCTGCTACGGTCAGGATAGTGCCCTGAAGGAGGCCCAGGTCTGCCAGGAAACCCTCGGCAGTGAGCAGGCAGACCTGCTCAAGACTGAGCACCTCTCTTTCACCTGGGGCTGTGGCCCTGGGAAGGACTTGGGGGTCCTGCTGAGCATCCCCTACCTCCTGGGCTCAGGGTGCGTCAGAAGCCCCAGTGTAACATGTGTGGTAAGAGGCTGCTTTCTCCTGGGAGAGAAGGAGGCGGATTGCATGGAGAAGAAATGGTATTGAAGATGCTGCAAGTCCCCCCAGGCTAAAGGTCCCCAGTGCACAGCCCTGCGCATCTTCCTGTCCCTTGTGCCTGATTCTGGTTTTGGGAAGTGAAGCGGGAACTTCTCTGAGAACTCCCTCAGCAGGGCTGCGATGACGCCATGTGTGACGTCCCTGAAAGGGATTGGTGCTCCTAATCGCCTTTGCTAGGGCTCACTGTGTGGGATAAACATACCCTGCCTGCCTCCAAGCCCCAAGGCTAGATCCAGGCTGTAGTGCAGAGGGACCCCGGGATGCCAGGCCACTCCAGAAAGCAGCTGCTGGGTGCCCCTCATTATCAGCCTTCTCATCAGGAAGTCAGGGAAAGCTGTCTTCCCCAAGGGCAGCTTGCAGATGCCCTTCTTGCACCAGGCCTTCCAGCACCGCCTGTGCAGCCAGCGACCCTGGAGAAAGGGCCTGAGCATCTCGCTAGGGCTGAACATGGAACCTGAGACTCCTAGGTCCCTTGCTTCTCCATTCCCATAGAATTAAAGGTTTATGTGGCTTCAGGGAAGTAACCAGCACTTACGAACATGAGGGGCTGAGCAGATACTGGACTTGCAACCAGGACCACCTCTTGGCCGGTGTCTGGCTGGCTAGCTCCAGCTGCTGCTGCCCCTTGGCAACCTGGGCACCTCCCCCAGCAGCAGCCTCCCTGGCAGGCAGCCAGGAGCTTTAATCAGCAGCCAGCGGTGGGGCTCTGATGTCCTTGGATGGAAGAGATGTGGGTGTGGAGACAGCAGCTGTGTTTCTTCTCGCCTGAACAAGCTCTCCCAGTCTTTCCTTCTCCTCCTGCTACTCTTTCAGACATTTTGCAGTGAATGCAAATCTTATGTTTGTTGGTAATGGGCAGACCCAGCTGGAAACAACGTCAGTTTTCCCCAAAACCTGGGCGTGTTCCTGTCTACCCAGTATGCCTGAGTCAGTGTGGCAGGGGTGTGTCTGCCTACACTCTGGCACTGCGCCTGTCTCCCTGGAGAAACCTGCTGTAGGCTCTTTCTGGACACCTGCCCGCTGCTGGACATGTCCCTTTCTCTTTGCTGTGGTCAGATTTAATATTTCTGGCCCCTCTGCTCTAAAGACTCTTCCTAAATTCTTTCTTTCAGGCTGTGTTTCAGAACATCCTAGATACTGATGGCCTTAGGATGAGACTCAGTAAACATTGGAGGCATCTCAGAAATGGGTTTGAAGTGGACGACATGACCACTGGGTGGCAGATATCGATGGGGGAGTCAGTGTCTCCTAGCTCTCTCTAGTCTTTCAAATGCTGAGTGGCTGGCTCAGGACCACTGAGTGACTAAGCAGTCATCAGCTGCTCCAGGGCAGGGACCTGAAGAGGTCACACAGGTGGTGGG